TGCTGCTTTCGATGCGTTGTCGATGCTTGCTGATCATGCCCTCGGATCCCAAATTTAGATGTTCAGAGATTTGTTGCATGTAGCCCGCTTCGCACTTTCAGGCGATTCATATAGAACCTGAAATATATATTCATTTTATTTGAACATCATTCAAATAAACGGAAACGTTCAAATAGTGACACTTGCAATTTGGATTGGAATTTCATCTCATAATTTATAAATAAAGCGTGTGGAACAATGGCAGAAATGACGGTCAAAATGGCGAGTAATATGTCGTCTGCTATGCGTTTTGTAAGGGGCCGGTTTTACTTCGCTTGCGATCAGCATATGAATATATCGCCGAAATATTACATTATTTTAGGTACGTATTAAATATGAAACAAAAGTATTCCTAGATGGATACTTACCACAGACACACCTCAGATCATAGGAAATTGTAGCGCCAAATACATGCGACGTCACGCCAGTTTCTCACATAACGGATGTGAATCACAGAGCATGGACAGCTTTGAATGCTTGTTAGAAAAACAGAACACCGATGTTCTATTAATGGAACACGTGTTCTAGGAGAGAACGCAGGCGTTCAGCAAATAGACCGTATATGTTCCAGAACACCCATTAAAGATCCAGCTAAAATTAGCCATCAGAATGCCAGTGTTCTGATACACGTAAATGTCCCCAATGCAAGCAAGTTATTTCCATGTATTAGCAAAGAGATGTATTTCAGTAATGTTTCTTGTTGTATTTATTCAGGCTACATATGAGTTATTATTAACACAAAGTATGCCATGTTTATAAACTATTTATTATTCATCAAACTCAAAATATAACCCTTCTTATACACATTTTCTGTTTGACATACCAATCTACATGCCTCTCTTCTTCTCAAAAATAAATATTCCGAAAACACAAATATATGGTCGATTATAAATGTATCTATCCATATTCAGCACATTAACTCTGCAAATGTGCATGGACTTCTCCCAGGAGAGAACACACGGGTTCTACAACAGATCACAGGCGTTCAGCAATAGAACACGTGCTGCACGAATTAGAACATTCGTATTCTGTGGCAGAACGTATGGACGCGTCCAGTGTTCTATATTAGAACACATAGATTTAGAGTGTACTCATCGCGAGAAGAACTACACATTCTTCTGACACTTTACTCCAGGTAAGGTGAGTTGATCAAACCAGAGAGCACGACATCGGTTCTGCTGCCAAGATCTCACTTATCAGAATGACAGAGCCTGTCGAGAAAGCAAGGAACGGGGAGACTTTTGGTCCCCGGTTCCTCACACCCGACGGGCCTGCCGACTTCACCAGCGTGTACGCTCCCAATCCCTGCTACACACAAAGCGAAGAACAAGCTCTGCGACCACCCAGACTGGCATCAAAGGGATCCTCAGTCAAGAACGGCCGAACACTATTGCACTCATCAGCCTGCCATCATTTCATCAACTAGAATCACATTGGCAATCCCCATTGTATTCAGACACAGTAATAGTTATACACCCTTAGATTCCTTAGACACCTCCCCCGTGTTTGTTTCCCAACCAATTGTTTAATAGGGAGAGAAGAGAGAGAGAGAGAATGTGTTTATTTAAGTGTCACGTGCACATTATATGATAAAATACAAAATGTACATTCATAGAATGATAAAAAGCACCCGGCCATATGGCCTATGAGACACTATAATCTAAAATATCACAGAACAACAATAAGTTAAGACACACACACACACGCACACGCACACGCACACGCACACACACGCACACACACTTACAAACATTACAGAAATTACGTTAACTACATAAATCATAAAAGAGCATTCCTTCTTCTGACCATGAGATGAATCTTAGAAGCAAGTAGGAGTTGGCAATTAGGATTTTGCATTAAAAACACATATTTTTCTGTTAATAATAGGCACCACCTAAAAGTTGACGGAAGACAAAGTAGACATAATTTATGGCAACATCCCGCCCCAGCAACACCAGAATCAAAGAACACAAAACTTTAACCATCAAATCAGACAGTAAAACAACCATCTCGGACCATATCAGCACCTGCAAATCACAACATCAACTGGGAAAACGTCCAAATCCTCTCCACCAACCTCCATGACTTCTCTGAAAGAAATCTAAAAGACGCAGTCCACATTCGCCGCAACAAACCATCAATCAACAGAGATCAAGGCTATTTCACCATGTGTGCTTTTCTCATCATGTTGTTACAGTATTATCCTTCTGTTGTCTTTACTTAACCTACTCATGTTAACCCACCACCTACTTTATATACATGTATTCTGTACCATGTTCATTATTCAGCCCAATGGGTCCCAAGTAAGATCGGCAGATGGCTATACAAAATTCAACCCAAGGTCAAGCAAAAGCCAAACTCATACTCAAATAAAAGGAAAATTGAAATTGCTATCTCACGCCTCAGACTCGGTCACAAAAAGCACCATGACAAGGTTTGTTCATCTTGCAATCAGGCCGAAACCATTGCTCACGTGTTACTAGAATGTCAAGACCATGCCCCAGCCCGGGCTAGGTTAAAACAAGAATTGCAGTTAGATCCGCTATCTGTCATAGATCTCCTAAAGCCAAGAGATGCAATAGTGAAGGCCAAACTAACTCTATTTCTGAGAGATGGACAGCTACTCGAACGTATATAAACAGAGCAGCCAAGGATAAAAATGAAATCCTATCAATATACGAAAATAGAAATCATATCAATACAAAAAAACAGAAATTATGTGAACACCAAACTCACAATGTGTACCCTACTCACACACAGGAGTCCCAAAGAGGGACAGGCCAGCCGAAATTGCTTAGGCAGAAGGCGACCCCTTAAACACTTAATGCAACAACAACAATCATTATTCAGTCTTGCTTGACAACGGTATAAGGATCTGTGCCGAAACGGCGCCTTTACAGTAAATAAAGAAGTTGCTATCCATACAATGTGGTTGACTTTGTCCCACCCAGTTGTTCATCACCTGTACCTAAATGTCACATTGGAAGAATAACGAAGTCAAAATCCACACGTTAATCCTGTATTTACTGGTATAATAGTTATTCTGCCCTGGATTTATAAACACTTTATTACGATTGGTCAATCAGAGGTTTCAACTCACTGTACCCAATATCTCTCGCTAACACCAAAGAGTTCACGTTCGGTTCCAAATTTGATTTAGCGAGGTTAAATCTACAGGTAACCTACTTCTATACAGAAGACACGGTATTTTTATCTCATAAAATACTAAAATAACTATAAGGAAATTGGTTTTCTGCAAGTATGTATCATAGGTGAAGGTTTGACGTCCACAATACACAGACATGTATATCTAATCACATCCATGCAACCTAATGCAGCAAGCGATTGGCCCTGATGTGAGTTGATTATGTTCTTGTGTTAACTCTTGAAATTTAGAGGGGCGGTCGGGTAGCCCAGTGGTTAAAGCGTTCGCTCGTCACGCCGAAAACCCGGGTTCGATTCTCGACATGGGTACAATGTGTGAAGCCCATTTCTGGTGTCCCCCGCCGTGATATTGCTAGAATATTGCTAAAAGCGGCGTAAAACCATACTCACTCACTCACTCTTGAAATTTAGAAAGAAACTAAACTGGTGGCCCAGTCGTCTGTGCAGAGTTGCGTCCCTTAGAAGTGGTAACCGTCCGAGACCTGCATCACTTCGGGCTTTGCTCCCACACTAAGCTGACGCACCGTGATGTAACTGGATTAATGTTAAAAGCTGTGTTAAACCGAGAATTTGGCTATAATGTCAGTCAAATGCCAGGCGACCCCTGTGAAAAGATTGTTGAGAATTCCGTGCAACACAGGTCAGGGAGCATCTCAAAATTGTCACCGTCACCACTGGAGTCCGGAATGTGCGAGTACGACCATGATTAACCCTCGTAGTGGTGACACATCCCAATTCACACAACTGGTCATACATGTTTGGGGATACTGCAGACGGGCTTGAGAATTGATTTTCTTTCTAAATAGTTCACGCCTGTTGATAGTGATTGAGCGAGTGAGTGAGTATGGTTTTACGCCGCTTTTAGCAATATTCCAGCAATATCACGGCTGGGGACACCACAAATGGACTTCACACATTGTACCCATGTGGGGAATCGAACCCGGGTCTAGGCTACCCGACCGCCCCCGTTGACCGTTGATAGACTTTGTCCGCAGTAACCCATCCTTGTCATATAAGGCGACAAAATGGACCAGGTGGTAATTTTTATCACGTGAATTCTACATCTCCTCATCTCCTGTTTCCTTTATGATCACGTGAATTGTGCATCTACTGTTGCCTCCACGAGCACGTAAATTCTACATCTACTGCTGATTTGATGAGCACGTGGATTCCACATCTACTGGTCAACGTGTTTGCAACCTTGACTTTCACTCGCGACAGGTGCAACTATACCACTGATTGATTGGTGTGTTGTTTCACGCCGCACCCAGCAATATTCCAGCTATATATAGACGGCGGTCTGTAAATAATCGAGTCTGGACAAGACAATCCAGTGATTAATATCATGAGCATCGACCCACGCAATTTGGATCGATGACATGCTTCAACCAAGTCAGCGAGCCTGACCAACCGATCCCGTTAGTCGCCTTTTACGACAAGCATGGGTTGCTGAAGACCTATTCTACCCTGGAATCTTCACGGGTCGGCAACTATATCACAAAGCACCCTGACCTGTTTTGCAAATTCCTGGTGTTATTATATTTCCAGTGATTTATTTTGTTTCTGTTTCTATAGATTTGCCGCTTTTATATTTGTGTAAACTATGCACATGGAGGTGCGACAGGTAACAGGTTTCCATTGCCCTTACATCAACACCGAGGTTCAAGTAATGCCCATGCAAGGAATTTACACACAGTAACCTCCTTAGGTAGCCATGATTTTTTACATAAATATTCTTTTCTTTGAACCCAACACATTCATTTGACTTTCTTTCCAAGAGCGTGACGTCTGTGACAGCTTGTATAACATTCTTTATTCACTTCCATCGTGTACAATAACATGTCATATATACATAAAAAGGTACACATGTTGCATCGTAGGACACGTAGGGCACATTGCATTCTTGTATATAATATATGATAATAAAATCATTTATATAGTATGTCCTCCATACATATACATACGTATTTTTGTATCATCTCCCTTAATAAATCACTCGGCACACTCTTCGTCATCCTAAATGCACAGTTACTGCATGAAGACCCATCTTCTTATGAAAAGCATCATGGAATTTTCTTGTAGGTCACTTCAGATTAATAATTTTTCTTCGGAATCTTGGTGTTGTTTTTCGTAGCAGGAATGTAATGGTACTTACAGCCTCTAAAGTACCCATCTTGCAATACATAATTCACAAACACGTGTAACGTAAGATAAAATTTCGTTTCCGAAATCAACCTCAAACATTTTCAAGATTGTATCATTAAAAGATGTATTGGTTACGATGTTTTCGTAGCAGGAATGTAATGGTACTTACAGCCTCTAAAGTACCCATCTTGCAATACATAATTCACAAAAACGTGTAACGTAAGATAAAATTTCGTTTCCGAAATCAACCTCAAACATTTTCAAGATTGTATCATTAAAAGATGTATTGGTTACGTTTGGCATGTACTAGTAAATAGGGCTGGGACGAGTCTAAATGTACTACCCGGGTACCCACCCTCCTATTACCCGACCCGACCCTACCCGGGTACCCGCTGTAGGTCTCAAGAGATAGGTACAAAATTTCCGATTAGGAAACGTTCTTTGACCGTACTAATGTCAAAATGTATTTAGATACAGGAATAAAATGATCTGGTCATGCACACACTGAAGTTGACTGAAGTTTTATCTTTATGCAAACATATAAAGTCAAAAGGAATCATGTGTTCACAGTCGGAAAGAAATGTGAACATTTGTCACTTTGCCATTAAACAATATAATCACGTGACTAACCAAGGGTCCGGACCCGGGTCCTACTCAGTACCCACCCGACCCGAGTACCCGACTTACCCGTCCCAGCCATACTAGTAAACCATATATGGCGCACGGTAAACTGTTCGTTTGGTTTGTATCTTTCACACACAAAAAATATCCAACGTCGCAGTTTGTGCACATTTTCCGCTGTCACTGTACACTTGTCAACTGTGTCAAATACATTGCTTGTAAACGAGCTATGATGACGTCATCAACTCATGCTACTTTCACTTGATATCCAGAGTTTGTAATCGAGGTAGTCCTGGAATGTGATCCCAGTCTGTCGTCCATCAGCCCGATACTTGTACACTTCTTTCTGACGCTGCCAGCTGGGAAAACAGGAACAGATGATGAGTGAGTGAATTGGGTTTAACGCTGCTTTTAACAGTATTACAGTTTTATCACGGCGTCTCAGCTTAATGTGGGAGGAGAGCCCGAAGTGATGGAGGGCATATACCACTTTGGTGAAACCCACGAGCACGGGTATGGTGCTGACAAACCTAGGAACATAATCGGGGTGAACCGGGATTCGAACCCACAATCTTGGGCATTCTGGCGTGCCCAAGGGACGCAACTCTGCGCAGCGAATCGAGGCGCCTTAGACGACTTGGCGGCCTATGGGCCGCATAATAAAAACGTAGACTGATAGATGACCGACGTCGAAATATTGCATCGAAACATTGCAGAACAATATCGACCTACTCACTAACTCACACACACACAACAAAACAGACACAAGTAACCATGGACTATGGGTGACTATTAAGTGGGGCTATTGTACCCATTGCGATCGTAATGCAATAGTAGCCCACACTATTGCAACAGGATTGCGATAGTTGTCAACTATTGCAATAGTATTGCGATAGTAGTAAACCGAATTTAAGGCTTGATAATTATATTAATCAAAGTAATAGATATGAACAAAGTGTTGCTGACAATCTCCATGTCGGCCATTTCCCTCCCTGTAGCAAACTCAACCAAAGGGAAGTAACTTGATAGTACTAGCATAGAGCAAACAATTGCAATAGTTCGAGAGTTGATATATCGTTACACTCCTACCATGGGCTGACTACGGCATGAACCCATTGATTTACTGACTAGAAACTAGGACTAGTTGATTATATGCTTCCCAGGTGAACTGCGGTTGTGCCAGATTCGAGATGACGTCACCCTACCTGCAGTACACAGCGCAGCCAATGACGAGCAAGAGAAACACCAGCAAGGCCAGGGAACCGCCCACAGCGCCACCTATAACCAGTCGATAGTCTGGAGCGAGGGCTGAAACACAATGCAGCTGCGTCTTACACTGCTTTCAAATAGTTAGTCCTCACAGTCCTCCACAACGTGATCTCAGCACTACGATTGTCGTAAGTCTATGTTAAAGTATGGGAGTTAACATCGTCTTAGCGCTAAGATCGCTCACTGGAAAGTTTTGTTTGTTTGTTGTTGTTTAACGCCGCACTCAGCAATATTCCAGCTATATGGCGGCGGTCTGTAAATAATCGAGTTTGGACCAGACAATCCAGTGATTGACATCATGAGCATCTATCAACGCAGTTGGGATACGATGACATGCATCAACCAAGTCAGCGAGTCTGACCACCCGATCCCGTTAGTCGCCTCTTACGATAAGCAACAATCGCTTTGTACCGCAAGCATGGGTTGCTGAAGACCTATTCTACCCCGGGGTCTTGTGGAAAGTAAAAAGAGTGACATTTAAGGGGGCGGTCGGGTAGCCCAGTGGTTAAAGCGTTCGCTCGTCACGCCGAAGACCCGGGTTCGATTCCCGACATGGGTACAATGTGTGAAGCCCATTTCTGGAGTCCCCCGCCGTGATATTGCTAGAATATTGCTAAAAGCGGCGTAAAACCATACTCAGTCAGTCAGTGACATTTAAGACCAGATTGTATGTCACAGCGAATCAAATGTCTAGGTTAACCCACCCAACACTAGCAACCTTAACACCTGAGATATGTAGAGTGCCCTTCTAAAAGCAATATCTAGCACCCACCGCTACTTGTTTGACACTTGTCCACACATCCGCAGAAGACTTTGAGTGAGACACGGTCCCACTGGCATATGCCGTTACCGTCACAGTAGTTGCTGTCCGCGTCACACGGAGCTGGAACCAGTCATGAATACATTTATGATCTTCGAATTATCTCAGAGAAACTAAGAGATAAACTAGAACATCATTTCAACGTAAATGCCTCTCTAAAAGACATCGAGGTTATAACCTGAGTTCTGTGTAGCCGCCTGTATGACATCTCGAAAGGTTTAAGAATTCCTTCAATGGGCAATTACAAGTCAGTGTATTAGTTTAACATGTATATTATAAGGTGTCGTAGGATCACGAGTGGTACATGGGGTTTTATGCGGCCCGCGTTAGGTTTAATACCACGAGCCCCATGTACCCCGAGTGATCCTGCTACAACGAATTTATCTTACCGACATGTTTTAATATGACATGGCGTAAAATAATTCAATAAATTCAAAATTGATAGAAAACAGCTGTTCGACTGAAGTGAGGTGAGTTTGCGCTATGTCAAGTGATTTCCATTGACTCGGAAAAAAGCATGCGGCTTTTTACTTTGAGCGGGGTATAAAGGATTTTATCTGCCTCTCAGAAATCCACGTGCTGCCTGACTTGCTCGTGGCGGGGTATAAGAGATTTATTTTCCCTTTGAGAAATGTATTCCTCTCCTAGGCAGGATCACGTGGACCAATAAGATCTGACATTCTGACATGGAGGTATGATAACTATGATTATACAACACACTTACATATGCACCTAGCACTGGAATCAGCGCCGTTGCGACTTGTTGTCATTGGAGCAGGGCACGCCATGCAAGACGTCTGTCCAGCCTCGTCCTGGTATGTGCCCACTGGACAGGGGCTGCAGGAGCTGCTGTCCTTGTCTAGGTATGCGCCTCGTTTACATGGCTCTGCAAGGATCAGTAATCATATCATTCCCCATGGCGTTGCCATGTAATGACCCCTACGATGCTTCCACGTTCTATTTTTAGATACATATGTTTACTGATACCCCAGCAAGACGGACAGTGTCGTATCTTTTTTATTCACACCAAACACTATATTATCCCAGTGCATCGACTTACCACAAGCACCGTTCACGTAGACGTGTCCCTGATTTGAACAGACTGTCTGGGACGTCACTTCCGTCACGCCGTCAAACACAACGCCATGGGCCAGCTGTAGGATAAATCATTCGTATTATTTTGAACGTTCAACATTGGCATAAAACTATAGATGTCCTTGACAAATAATGTGTATTTATTATTTATTATAGCAGCACGTGTTGAAAAAGCTATTAATGTCTGTGTTTGCCGATTTGTTACAATTGAACACATGTTCCGTTTGTCTTGTTTTTTGCAATATTTAATTTATAGGGATATTAATGGTAAACAGACTGTCTGGGACGTCACTTCCGTCACGCCGTCAAACACAACGCCATGGGCCAGCTGTAGGATAAATCATTCTCATTATTTTGAACGTTCAACATTGGCATAAAACTATAGATGTCCTTGACAAATAATGTGTATTTATAATACATACGATACACACATTATTCAGTTTTGTGAACAGAAGTTATTTTGCAGTTTCCAAAGGAATAGAACAAAATAATAACTCAGGTGAGGTGTAAACTTACGAGGGTAGGACTCTGAGAACTATCATATAGTCCTTCTACGATCAAACTGTCAGCTGACATCGTTGTTGTTTGCTCGCCTAGCACGCGCGAGATTTCTTGTCTGAAACAAATGGAAATTTTACACATCATATTAGTTGGTTGGTTGGTTGGTTGGTTGGTTGTAAATAATCGAGTCTGAACCAGACAATCCAGTGATTGATATCATGAGCATCGATCCACAATTGGGATCGATGACATGCATCAACCAAGTCATCGAGTCTGACCACCCGATCCCGTTAGTCGCCTTTTACGACAAGCATAGTTACCTTTTACGGCAAGCACGGGTTGCTAAAGACCTATTCTACCCCGGGTCTATCTCGGGTTCACATTATATTAGACAGTAAGTGCATATATAATCATGTTTCTTCTCGCACACCGCGACTCTACGAAATCGTGTAAGAGATGGCTACACTAATAAGAGGAAGAACTTATACTGACGGCACATGTGGAACGATGGTATCGACGATCAACACTCCCCCGTCCCCACACCCGTCTCGTAATGAAGACGTCACGCTGTTGCAGTCCCGATCACAGACTCCGCGCCATGTCCTGTCCACTGTCTGTATCGCCTGCTTCAAGTGGTTCTGGACTGCTATGGTTATTGCCGCTTTATTCTGGCACGAGACAACCTTGAAACGGGTTGTTACGGTAAGCGTCACCTGCTGGATTTCCACCTCGAGGCCATCTAAGAAAATACGGCATATTGTATTGAGTAAGTAAAAGAGTGTTGGTTTACGTCACTGACAGCAATATTCTAGTAAAGCGGCGACTTGTAACTAGTTAGGTCTGGGCCAGACCCCAGTGCTGGACAACGTGATCAGGTATCCAGGTAGTCGGCGATGACCAATCATAACAATTAATCAACCCGATCCTCATTAGTCAGCTCATATGACAAGCATGGGGATTCTTTGGGACTTCATCATCCCCGGAACTACAACTGGGGTATTGAGGAAATGATGCGGAAGTGCTTCAGCGGTATTGCATCTAGTTCATGATTGGGGTATCCAATGAATCTTTTTATCTTGTACGGATATATACATTCGGTGCAACACTTTCTAAAAGATGCGCAGTCGAGCACCATTTTCAATCGAACTACCAGAGGACCATGGCGTGATGGAATGAAATTAGGTCGTGGGAAGACAACACGCTTGTATAAGTAGCAACCCACCAGGACTAGGGACACAGGAGGTGCTCCCGACACCAGCAGTTATTGTGCCCGGGGCACACTTGTGACAAAATGGTTGTTCGGAATCCGACCGGAAGTAGTTCAGACGACATTTCTCACAGCGCCCGGCCACACGGCTGTAGTCTTCACCCAAGGGACAGAACTCTGTAACACAGTAAATTTGAGACCGTGGCTGCATTAAAAAAGTCTTATCTGAGTGGATACCTACCCTAATTGTGCATGCATGCTTATACACACAAGTTTCATAGCTAATTTGAATTTGAAGAAAATGTTTCTTTTCAGAGTCAAATACCTATATTTTATGTCCAGGCTATATTTCACTAATTAAAATTAGTTTTACCATGTAAGACACAATGATCCAAGTATTATATTAATTGAGTTCTGCTGTTTGCTGTTCCATATGAAGAAGTAATTCAGTCAAGGGTTCAATTTTCCGGTTAGTAACCTGTTAAGCCTCCAAATATCTGTATTTTGTTATAAGCTTTGGAATTCTTTTAATATGTAAAGATCCAACTTTCTCTGGGTCACTTTGTTCACCTGTGAAAACGCATCCATGTATAGGAGTTTTTATATGCCACGGCAGCCATATTGAAAAAGTCATTTAAAGCCATTACCTGTAATTTCTGTTCAAAATGTTATGAAATGGGGTACACGTGTAGCTACTTGTGGGGTTCGTGTGCCTTTTTCTGCCATATTTTAATGTTGACCTTTATTTGACCTTTTCAATTTGACCATGTTCTTAAACTTCTTCGATGTAAAGTTTTATGCGCAATACAAAGTGACTTCTTATTATTATATCTATCATCATAAATCTTCTCAAAATGCAATGCCTCGCACTGTAAACATCATCTCACAGGTCACGGAACCAAGAAACTTCACACCCTTGTTCCCACAAATGATGATGTCATCTGAACCTGTTCAAGGGATTCGTAGCAGCACGTATTGAAAAAGCTATTAATGTCTGCGTTTACCGATTTGTTACAATTGAACACATGTTCCGTTTGTTTTGTTTTTTGCAATATTTAAATTATATGGATAGTAATGGTAAAATCATTTGAATATGTGAAAAATATGTCCTGCAACATAAGATGGGTATTTGACTCTGAAAATTAAAATTTTCTTCATATTCAAATTTATGCATATTTATTATGTATATAAATATGCATGCATACACGTTCAGTCAGAAAACGATGCATGCAGGCAAACCATTGAAAGCCCACATAAACCAGGCAATGATCTTATTCCTTGCAACAGTTAATTAATAGGTCTCAAAACACTGAAGTGACTCACTCCTACACTTGTGTCGAGAATCAGCGCCCGTGCCTGTGGTACCGAAGCCCGGGGGACAGGGGATGCAGGCTGCACGGCGCCGCTCCTCCTGGTACGTGTCCTTTCCACAGGGAACGCATCCAAGTGTGTCCACCTGACCCCGCGTGCCAGGCGGACAGTCATCTGGGAGGGTAAAATACATAAAATACCAAATAATAAACATGAAAACATGCCGTGATTGCCGCACCTGCCTAGATGGCAGTGTAAAATAGGTAAATGTTTGCAAATGAAATATACAGGCTTATATGTTCTTATTAGTGAATGCTGTTATGGGCCGCGACTGTCTAGATGGCAGTCTAAAATAGGTATATGTTTGCAAATGAAATATACAGGTTTATATGTTCTTCTTATTGAATACTGTTCACTGTTCTAGGCCGCACCTGCCTAGATGACAGACTGGTGTAAAACAGGTAAATTTTTGCAAATGAAATATACAGGCTTATATGTTTTTATTATCAAATGCTGTTATGGGCCGCACCTGCCTAGATGACGGACTAAAATAGGTATATGTTTGCAAATGAAATATACAGGTTTATATGTATTTATTATCAAATGCTGTTATGGGCCGCACTTGCCAAGATGAGAGTCTAAAACAGGTACATGTTTGCCAATGAAATATACAGGATTATTTGATTTAATTATTAAATGCTGTTATGGGTGCATCCGCCGAGAAGACACAATCACATAAAACTGAATGTTTTTACAATCAATAAACTATATATTGCCCGTTAAACGTTATTTACCTGTAAACACATAATACTATCATCAATTACTGTGTGTATTTCATCATCTGCCACTTCATCTAACCCCCTTGTAGCTCGTTATGAGTGTTAACAGGGAGGGGTCTATACTTGACAAATGTTGTATTTACTTAACACGGGGATGTCGCACTGAACATGTCAGGGAAGATCGACCTGAATAGACTAAAGGAACGTTAAGTTTAAGTCTACAGTGAATGAATCATTTCCATCAAATGTTTACCGGGTGACATCCATATTTCTTGCTCTTCCGTAACTAGGCAACAGCACTCGTTCTTCTGTTGTTTCCATTATAATGTATAGAGTATCCTAGGACACATTTTCTATATATATTTATTTTGATGATTCATTTTAACAGGAAGACTCTCTTTCATTTGTTTACTTATCTGAACCAAAGTCCACAGCGCAATGTTTGTACAGGAGAACATGGCTGTAAGATAGCCTTATGGGTTAAGCGTTCGCTCGTCACCCCGTAGGTCCGGGTTCGATTCCCCACATGGGTACAAAGTGCGATGCCCATTTCTGGTGTACCCTGCCATCATATTGCTGCAATATTGCTAAAACGTAAATCGTTACTCACTCACTCATGTTTAAACATATTAATGCTTTTTAGTTAATGTAATTATCACAGGCAGCCTGCCACATAACACAAGTATTTTGGTTGTGTTTTTCAGTCAACAGTTTGTTGGTGTTTAAATTAGAAACCAAGAAATGAACTCTCTTTCAGTTTCCCTCCCGACTGATCCCGACTCTGACAGTCACATTGACATAACTATAAAATATCATTCAGAAAGCATATCTTCGAAGTTTTAAAATCATATAACGTAGCATCAGACAAATATTCACAGTCTTGAAATATTTTACCGGTCACGATATCATACATTTCCCCCGAGTAGTCCTTCTAGAATGGCAAACAAACTCCAGAATGTTCTCACCTCGTGCTGATGTCAGCATGTGCCGGAATCTCTTCAGGAGGGGGTTCTTTACCCCGTTACACGTGGTCCCCCCAAAGTCCTCCTGACCTAGCTCCCAGAACATGCAGCCACCCAGACCATGTTCTTTAATGTAGTCGGACTGCAACATGACGAGTATGGTATGGAATATATAGCTGATGTAAGAAGTACGTAATTTACTGGTTTATCTTGACTATGCTTAGATTCGTTAGTCCAGCCAAAATATAACTTCAAAATTCCAGCCTAGTTTTACAAGGGTGGCAAGTGGACTTTTAATGTTAACTCCCTTGCCTCGGGAAGATGGTATTAGACGCATGAGCGCCACTTCGAAAGTAAACCAATCAAACTGTCTTCATCGGCTGCTACTCTAGGGTATTAAGATTCCAAAGTCTCAGTACATGTCTGTGGAAACATTAAAGGTGGACTTGCCTCCGCCTATTTTGCAGTCCCAGCTAGTATGCTTTGTGTCACACAGAACAGCTTTGTTTATGATGTATATCTTAGCGATGACCCTTATTGGGTAATGGCACTAATTACAACGTCTAGACCTCGCCTGGACACGAGCACCAAACCGAGAACCAGTCTCTATTTAAATTGGAGTGGTGACTGGTATATGTGACTGGTTATCGACCGTTTTGTCTTGCCCAGTTTCTAATACGATCCTCTGTAATATTGCTGCAGGAGTGATGTCAACACGCACCCACTCACACTCTTCGGCGGTCACTCATACGTAAAATACGAAGAGCGTTGTCAAGTAAAGTATTAATGACATTTGCTTTCAACATTAGGGGACACGGGTGGCCCAGTCTAAGGCGCCGCGATTCACTGCAGAGTTGCGTCCCTTGGGCACACCAGAAACCTAGGATTGTTGGTTCGAATCAAGGTTCGCCCCGATTATGTTTCTAGGTTTGTCAGCACCATACTCGTGCTCGGGGGTTTCATCGAAGTGGTAAACGTCTGAGACCTGCATCACTTCGGGCTTTCCTCCTACATTAAGCTGACACACCGTGATATAACTGGAATAATGTTAAAAGCGACGTTAAACCCAACTCACTCACTCATCTACATTAACCTTCATCGACTACAGACTACATCGACTGCACAAGGACACTAAGACAGGACTCGCAGCATTGCAAGAACGACATAGAGCTAGTCTCACTTGTATCCTACCTTAACATCAACTGTTCTCAGGTTCTCGGGGTTCACCCAGTTGTTGCCGCTGTGGATAGTGGCCGTCATGGAGATGTTGTCCCACACTGTCCTCCATCCTTGACGTAGTCGCTCACAGATCTGACAGAACAGAGGTAGTCTTTGTTTGCGTGTTTATTTCTTGTTTACCGCAGCACACAGCAATATTCCAGCTATATGACGGCGGTCTGTAAATAATCGAGTCTGGACCAGACAATCCAGTGATTGATATCATGAGCATCGATCCATACAATTGGGATACGATGACATGCATCAAGCAAGTCAGCGAGCCTGACCACCCGATCCCGCCAGTCGCCTCTTACAACAAGCCAACTCGCCTTTTACGGCAGCATGGGTTGCTGAAGACCTATTCTACCCCGGATCTTCACTGGTCACAGAGGTAGTCGAAGTATGTAGGTTGTATTCGGGTGGCATCACATGTACCTACAACTCAAAAGAAGTTAAGAACACACGATTTCTTCGCATGACTATAGTTAATTTGTCTTGACCATGACAGTTTAACAAAAGTCATATGGAAAAATCGGATGTTCTTTAACTTCTTTTGAGTAGTATACTTATATACTTAAAACCATTAACTGATTCCATATATACTATTTCAAATTTAGACACACAGGAAATAAGTTAAAAAAATGTATTATATTTTATAAATCAAACACATACTTCACAAGTATGCCAAGATAAAACGTTTCAACTAATACCACAGATGTTACTGGGAAAAACAAAACTACTGTTTGACAACTAATATTTGTATTTTCGGACCTGCCTAATGCAAATAATATTCTTATTTACACTCAGGACAGCAGGCTAGTGTGCACACAACAGCGCGTACATGTGTTGTGGGCATGTATAGTGGGCAAGATATAGACACGAGTGTCTAAATACCGGAATTTAGGCACGAGTGTCGTAATCAAAGTATGACAAGAACTCGAACATAATGTTCTAACGTCGCAACAGCAGCGGAATCACAATTTGTCGAATGACGGCTACAATCTTCAGCTATGACGTCGTTTCTAGTGTGACGTCATTCCGACCTCACGTCACAGTGAGATTCGAATGACGTCAACAATGCCGTCCGGATGACGGAAACAACATACTGTTTGGTGGTGACGTTATATGACCCTAGGGCACATGTGATTTTTATCAACCCCGATATGTTTGCCCCCGTAGGTAATAAAGATGAATAATGTAATTGTTCATTTATCAGTTCAAAAAAATTCTTGGAGGTAGGGAAATATTCTGGTGTTGATATATTTTTTTATATACGAAGATAATATTCTTAGGATAATATAAGCTGTCAATGTTTACTTTATTAACAATATTGACACATGGTCATTTAGGTTTTTTTCTAGATAGATAGATAGATAGATAGATTTATCATCCAAAACTGGCTCCCACAGGAGATATCGCTTGGATGAGATCAAGCGATATCTACACTGTAGATATCGCTGCAATGAAATTACATCACAATGCTTTGCAGACCATTGTGACGTCACTGGTAACCATGACGTCACAATCAAATGACATCACTTATGACTCTGCTACTGAAGCTGTTTGCAGTACTTTATACACTGAAGACACTGCTAATTACTGTCTACAAATTGAAAAAGTTGAAAGAATGATGTTGGATGATAAATAAAAACTCACCCTCGTGTCTTTTGATATCAAATATATCAACACTCGTTGATAAAAGTGGCAAGCCTAGGAATTTTTCCATTTTTATCAACTCGTGTTGATATATTTGATATCAAAAGACACTCGGGTGAGATTCTCTATTTAATTCCAAGGTAGATATATGGACAGACAGACATCTAGATAGATAGATAGATAGATAGACAGACAGACAGACAGACAGACAGACAGACAGACAGATAGATAGATAGATAGATAGATAGATAGATAGAAAGATAGAGTTAAGTACAAGAAAATTCAGGAAATCATTAGTACCCTCTGAGAAGGATGTCACGAATTTAGAAACTGACTCCATGTTTGATGTTTACCATCTACCTGTTCCTTCACACCAAAGGTCAATGGAGAAGTTGTTCGGTTCCCCTCTGCTATTTGTGATACACGTGTATTACCTGTGGTTGGTACACTTCGGTGGCAGTACTGTTGACTTTGATTGGTTCGCCGTACATGAAGTTGCTGCCATCCTCGACGGTGTACTCACGGGCATACAAAGGCACCCCCAACACAATCTTCTCTGGGGCCACGCCGGTTTGGAGTAAGTACTGCACACTCGCGTTCTGGAACACAGTCACGTGCAGCTAATGAAGGTGGAGGCGAGTGGTGAATTGATTCCTATATCATCAATTGTTATTTCTTGATTCGTGTCAATTTTTGGATCTTAGTTGTTTTCTAAAATTTCGGTTTAAATATTGATCAATATATGCCATATGTGTCGACTACAATGACTAGAAGGTGGGTGTGCATGTGTGTAGGGGTATGAACAATCGCCTAAGGATCCGCAATTTGCTGTGTGCCAGAAAGTTATATTTGTGGGTTCGAATCCCTGTTCGCCAGTGGTTTGTCAGTACCGGGCCAGTTCTCGTGGGTTTCACCAGGGCGGTAAACGTCTAACATCTTCATCACTTCTGGCTTTCCTCCCATAAAAAAATGACGCGGTTTTATACTGTAACAGAGCAGCGCCGTTGACCCCAACTCTGCCTGACACTATTTGCTGATGTCCATACGCAGTGAGGTGAGGTGAGGTGAGGTGAGGTGAGGTGAGGTGAGGTGAGGTGAAATGGGGTTTAACGTCGCGTCCAAGATTATTTAACTTATATAGCGACGTGCATGTACGTGGGTGTGTTTGTGTGGCTGCTTGTACTAGTCCGGACTGATGCCGATTTATAGTGCTAGCTCACTGAGATACCATGCCGCAGTTTAACATGAATACCCCAATCAGGCACAGTATACTGACTCCGAGCCGACCAGTCCTTGTTTTAGCCAATTAATGCCGAGCGCCAGACAGGGTAACAACAAGTACCATATTTAAACGTCTTTTGGTATGACGCGGCCGGGGATCGAACCCCGGACCTTCCGCTCTCCGGGCGGACGCTCTACCACGGAGGCGGTCCCATACGCAGTGATCAGTCATGACCTGCTATGTTGCGTTAGTGCTATGCTTACGACGTTCAATATGTCCTCGGGTGGGTTGTCTTCGGGTCTGTTGTACAAAGGCGATACATAGTATAATCCTTGTCTGTCCGTGTCAAAGTCGTAGGCCATCAGGTTGACGAAGTCCATGGTCCTGAAATACCATTAAAGTCTGTTTACATTGTGGAGGCTACCTGCCCTTACCTGTCATGCATTATGGCTGGCACTGACTGGAGACGTGAAGTAAAGTGGGGTAACATGTCGCGTTCAAGGTTATCTCACTTATATAGTGCGTGCGTGCGTGCGTGCGTGCGTGCGTGAAGGGGTGGTGGGGTCCGGGCTTATGCCGTTTTTTTATATGACATGCCCAATCTCATTAAAATCAGATCTTAGTTCTCGCTACCGCTAAACAAAGATATGAGGACGTCCCATCAGGGGTCACGTCAGAACGACCTTTCATCCGACCAATCAGAGCGTCGCTTACCAGATCATGAAAGTGACAGTCGCAATGTGATTTTTAATCATGCAACCTCGAAAACTTTAACACGAATTTAACCACTGAATCCATACAATCTAGACCATCTATTAGCCATTCTATTAAGGTTTCAATTTTTTAAATTGAGTATTTGTCAAAATATGTTTCGAAGCGTAGTAGTCGCCAATTTGAAAACAGTGCCGTGAAGCACGAGAAAGCTGCCTTCTGATTGGCTTATGTCGACTTCTTGTCAGTCCTTCCAATGGCCGGTCAAAGTTCGCGCAAGTTCTGTCTGACGTGACCCGTAATGGGATGTCCTCAGATCTTTGTATAGCGGTAGCGAGAACTAAGATCTGATTTTAATGAGATTGATAACATGCCGCAATAAAACGGATACCCTGTTCAGAAATTTGACACTGACTCCGAGCCGACCAGTCCTTGTTTTATCCTCTTAATGCCGAGCGCCAGGCAGGGTATACCTTTGTCCTTTGGTATGACGCGGCCAGGGGATCGAAACACCGACATTTCACACTCAAGTCAGACGCTCTATCCACTAGACCAAGGAGACGATACCGGCATTGAGATCTACCTTGGGATATCGTTCTAGAGGACGCGGATTTAGGCTCAAGTGGTGATAAGGAAAGAAATATTGTACATTATGTATTCATAAACGTAGTTCTTTATCATCTCACCGAAAAACTTTCACGACTTCGTAGGCCTTCGCCATTTTGGACGGTGAAGAGGGCATAGCCGTCGACAGCAACAGACGAGGATTGCCTGATGTCACTGACTCCTCTACAAACTTCTGCATCATTGTCTGTAAAGTCACAAACAATAAACCATTAATCGATCATTCATTCAGGTAAACTTTTACTCTGATACCAAGTACACTGTAAAAATGTGTTTAGATCCTAAACACAAACTTTATTTATTTATTTTTTTCTAAACACAAACTTAAACACTCTCCTTGTCCCATTTTCTTGACATGTTTAGGATTCAGTTTAACAGATACACGTTTAGATCCTAAACACAATTTTTTTTTTTTTTTTTTTTTCTAAACACAAACTTAAACACTCTTCTTGTCCCATTATCTTGACATGTTTAGGATTCAGTTTAACAGATACACGTGGTTAAGGTCTAAATGTGTATGTGTCTATCGTAGTAATCAGATAAACTTTCATTGTCAGCTTCCTGTATGAGAGGAATATCATTAGTCATACAGCAACCTCACATTTAAGAACACATAGATTCTTAACGTCGGTGTGATACGAAGCTGCAACCTCTTGATGTGTAGTCCTATCTCTGTTATGTTCTCATCATAAGTATCTGTCACATGCCCGACAATGAGGCACACCGTCACCCACCTCTGTCACACACCCGACACTGAGACACACTCACCTTTGTCACACACCCGACACTGAGACACACCCACCTCTGTCACACACCCGACACTGAGACACACCCACCTCTGCCACTCACCCGACACTGAGACACACCCACCTCTGTCACACACCCGACACTGAGACACACTCACCTTTGTCACACACCCGACACTGAGACACACCCACCTCTGTCACACACCCGACGCTGAGACACACCCACCTCTGTCACACTCCCGACACTGAGACACACCCACCTCTGTCACACTCCAAACACTGAGACACAACCACCTCTGTCACACACCCGACACTGAGACACACCCACCTCTGTCACACACCCGACACTGAGACACACCCACCTGTCACACATCGGACACTGAGACACAACCACCCCTGTCACACACCCGACACCGAGACACACTCACCTCTGCCACACATCCGACACTGAGACACACCCACTTCTGTCACACACTCGACACTGAGACACACCCACCTCTGTCACACACCCGACACTGAGACACGTCCATCTCTGTCACACACCCGACACTGAGACACACTCACCTCTGTCACACACCCGACACTGAGACACACTCACCTCTGTCACAACCCCGACACTGAGACACACCCACTTCTGTCACACACCCGACACTGAGACACATCTACCTCTGTCACACACCCGACACTGATACACACCCATCTCTGTCACACACCCGACACTGAGACACACTCACCTCTGCCACACACCCGACACTGAGACACACCCATCTCTGTCACACACCCGAAATTGAGACACACCCACCTCTGTCACACACCCGACACTGAGACACACCCACCTCTGTCACACACCCGACACTGAGACACGTCCACCTCTGTCACACACCCGACACTGAGACACACCCACCTCTGTCACACACCCGACACTGAGACACACCCACCACTGTCACACACCCGACACTGAGACACACTCACCTCTGTCACACACCCGACACTGAGACATACCCACCTCTGTCACACTCCCGACACTGAGACACACCCACCTCTGTCACACAACCACCTTTGTCACACACACACCTGTGACACACCCGACACTGAGACACACCCACCTCTGTCACACACCCGACACTGAGACACACCCACCTCTGTCACACACCCGACACTGATACACACCCACCTGTCACACACCCGACACTGAGACACACCCACCTCTGTCACACACCCACCTCTGTCACACACCCGACACTGAGACACACTCACCTCTGCCACACACCCGACACTGAGACACACTCACCTCTGTCACACACCCGACACTGAGACACACCCACCGCTGTCACACACTCGACACTGAGAAACACCCACTTCTGTCACACACTCGACACTGAGACACACCCACCGCTGTCACACACCCGACACTGAGACACACCCACCTCTGTCACACACTCGACACTGAGACACACCCACCTCTGTCACACACCCGACACTAAGACACACACATCTGCCACAACTCGACACTGAGACACACCCACCACTGTCACATACCCGACACTGAGACACACTCACCTCTGTCACACAACCACCTTTGTCACACACACACCTGTGACACACCCGACACTGAGACACACCCACCTCTGTCACACACCCGACACTGAGACACACCCACCTCTGTCACACACCCGACACTGAGACACACCCACCTCTGTCACACACCCGACACTGAGACACACCCACCTCTGCCAGGAACGTGAACCTCTCTCTGTCCGTGTCGTTGCTGCCCCTGTGCGCTGGGTACTCCCAATCAAGGTCAAGACCATCAAAGTTACGATCTCTCAAGTACTTGATGACGTTGTCACTGAAGTTGGAGACTTTGGTGTCGTTGCTGACAATCTCGACAAATGGCATTGAGCCGTGTGTCCAGCCTCCTACCGCCAACATGACCTTCAATCCAGGGTTCGCGACCTTCAGAGAAGTCAGCTGCTCATAGTTGCCTGTAACATGGCCGGGTGGACGCCATCTTATTTCTTGGATTTTTTTCCTTATTTGGGAACTGACAATATCTTTTCATCATGAGCATATATAGATGGTTTACAACAGGTCGCTTTATGTGGCATTCAAAATATCATCAGGCGTTCTACATCGTTAAACATGCCACTGTTAAGCTATAGTATGTGTTTGTGTACGCTACACGCTTGTAAAACGATAACCCTGGCAATACAGACATATGCTGCCTACGGCATTGCCTGGAAGTCGGGCCAAGAAAAGTCGGGGCAAGAAAAGTCGGGCCGGGCCGGGCCAGCGGGTAATACTAAAAATATATTGCAGAATAATAAAACGAAACGTACATAACTTGGCAGATCTCAAACGTCCACAAACGTATAGTTTTGCTCAATTAATTGAGTTTGAATCAAAATATATATTCAACAATGTAATAAAGTGATAGTTTTGACTATCGTGAGTCTTCGTGGAAAAGCCAGTGTCTTGACTTTGTGTTTTCTTTGATGAGGCTTCTCACCGACCTTAGCATGTAGGGTCGTGATGCGATTTACTCGCAATCACTTAATTATGCTGCACGTTTTTGGTTTGTGATTGTTCATTAATGTCATGTGTGTCTGTTGCATCAATAATATGTAGGTATTGTCGTCGATAATGGAGAGATCAGCCTATAATAACCTTGGCTCGGCCCGACTTTTGAGCGATGCCAATTTTCCCTTGGACGTAGAGAATAAATAACAACTAACCACCCGGTCCGTCGTCGTTCCACTCGTACGGTGCCATGGTGTCCTCCTCTGGCAGCACCTTAGAGAAGGCGAAGATGTAGTGGGTGCACAGACTCGGTTCGGTGATGTTGGCAGCGGTAAACTTCAGCGTCCCGGCACGATACTGGCTCCAGTTTGTGAAGTAGCATACTCGTTTGAAATCTGCACGTGTACACACACCTGAAACATCATCTACTGTACTCTACACGTGTACACACACCTGAAACATCACCTACTGTACTGTCCACGTGTACACACACCTGAAACATCATCTACTGTACTCTACACGTGTACACACACCTGAAACATCATCTACTGTACTCTACACGTGTACACACACCTGAAACATCACCTACTGTACTGTCCACGTGTACACACACCTCAAACATCATCTACTGTACTCTACACGTGTACACACACCTGAAACATTATCTACTGTACTCTACACGTGTACACACACCTGAAACATCATCTACAGTGCTCTACACGTGTACTCACACCTGAAACATTATCTATTGTACTCTGCACGTGTACACACACCTGAAACATCATCTACAGTGCTCTACACGTGTACTCACACCTGAAACATCATCTACTGTACTGTACACGTGTACACACCTGTTACATCATCTAATGTACTCTTCACGTGCACAAACACATGTTACATCATCTACAGTGCTCTACACGTGTACACACACCTGAAACATCATCGGCAGTACTCTACACGTGTACACACACCTGAAACATCACATTACGGTCACATGACACATTATCCAATAGTAAATAAGATCAAATTGTATATTACCCATCAACAAAGCCGCCACAATGACAACAAGTAGGTGCATCACGCTGAGGGCACTGAAAAACAAAACATGTTTCTTTTATACATTTCAAACGTAGATATCTATTCATTTAGAACTTGTATCTTGACACATTTGACGTAGCTGGGGTTGGAGATAATTCAAACAATAGTAATTTGTACAAATAAATGGCTTTATTATGACAGTTATATATGACATTAGCAATAAAACAAATTGTCTTGAACTTTTTTGAACATAGTTATTTGAATAGATACGGTAATACGATTACAAAAAGAGAAATGTGTATAACAATAAACGACGTATTTTATGTTGTTCAGTTTACTTTTACATATTCTAATGTTACAGCTTTTTTTAAATGCAAATGTGTTTTCGATACTGTATTATATCAATGCCGTAAATGCTTAACTAAATTATTGACGTAACATAATGGTATTTACTTGAGATTACCCGTGTGTATTTACCACTATGGACCTGCTCTTGCTATGTAATGCAATTCCAAGACTTTATCCATATTGGCATATCAACAGTTAATGTACAAGTGAACTAATCCACTAATATTTATACGTACTATTCACGTGCATTTTCCTGTGCGATATAATACACGAAATATAAGTTTTTGTTCAGGAATTTGAAACATTAGTATAAATACGTGGAACGCTTAAGGCACAATGTTCAATGCTAGATGTGTTTAACTAACAAAACAACATAAATCTCACCTCAACACAGAGAGAAGACAGCTGAGTCTCTCATAGTGTTTATTCTTGACACAATGAAGTACCTACCACTGGTTATACAATATCTACCACAGTGTGCACAGGGACCAAGCCTTCTGTATGACGTATTAGCCTAATGTTTAACCTTTAATCTGAATCTGTCAAATGGTGTATTAACTACCAATATGTTTTAGATACGTAATGCGTTGGTTAATATCACTTCCTGACTGACATTTTCGACTTAAACATGATGGTGCGTCCGACCATACTCAGCATGTTACGGTCTCGGACGTAACCCTTGCCATGGCGGCTGAACTGAGTTACATAATCCAGAGTTACTGGTTTGTGACTGTCAGCTACGTCAAGACAAGGCGTCCAGCCTGTGTTGTATGCACATGAATGTCTTTGATAAGTCACTGTCCTGTATGCTGGTGTGGCGCCCATGATGGTGTAGGATACGCAACCCGTTTGACAAGAAAATGGCGTATGCCATTACAAAGACATCGTATGCAATTGTTGTCTTTTTACTTCAAGAGTCTTTGTTATGTTATCTGAACATCTATGAGTTTTGAACGCGATGTTTGGATCAGTGTCTGTGATATAAAAAAAAGATATGTCCATGATTTGGACAGCGTGGGAGAAAGGCCTTGTTTGACTACAGGGCTGTGGAGAAGCACCTGCTGACCTAACACGAATGGAGGTTCTGATGATTTAGCTCTTGACGCTCCTTGTCTATTTGTTGACTTGCAGACGTGCAGTCTCGAGATATAGATTCGACAACCTTCAGGTTGTCCATGAGCTGCATAAGATGCGTTTTACCAAGTGTTGGCTTTGGCGTGAGTATAGTTTCAATTGGAAGAAGACATGTATCTTTGCCAAGGAGCATGTGCCATGTATGGGAAGTAACCAGTTTATTGGCACGGTGTCTTACGCATTGACATCATACCACATGGAGACCTCATTAAAAGCTCAACATATGTTGGGTAATTCTTCACTCACCCTTTGGAATGACATCACAGCTACAAGAACATACTTATGCCCATCCTTTGTTTGAGGGAGAGACCCAATAATGTCAACATTCAACCGGGAAAAGTTGTCTTTAATAGGCTCAGGTACCATTGTTTTTGCTTATTCGGATGATTTGATGTATGCTTCAACATCTTGGTACAAATGTGGCCAATCGTATAAGGTCAATAGGTAGCATCCCGACCAAAGTGGCATCCACCTGCTTTTGAATCAGACTAAGCATAAAGCAGGGATTTCCTGTCAGCTATAGGAACTGTCAGTTGTGTGACCATTAGCTGACGGCCCTTCTTGTGTCCTCCAAGCTTTGGCAGGTTGAAATTGTATCAGGGGAATCATGATAATGGTATCAGATATTCAATGACAGGCTTGAAATCTGGCGAACTGCGCCCTCTCCCAGCGAGAATGTTTACAGGAATATCAATTTCAATGGTACGAACTGTTGGTCCTGTTGGAATCTCATATTGATAACAGAATGCAACGCACAGTTCTATTTACGATGCGGAAGAAGATGTCACTACCTTCTGACCAGTTGAATGAGGATTTGCTGAAGTTGAACATTCAGGTGAAATCCCACAGCCAATATCTGCACAAGTAAGCTGACTGGTAATCTTGTGATGGGTTGTTGATGATTGATCTGAGAGTAGTGTTGCAACCCTTCCATCATATGAACACGGGACTGGTTGCTGATTTGACTGGTTGATGACTGAGGTGGAGTTAATAGAGGTGGGGGATGGGACAGGGAGATCATCAGTGACAGGTTCTGTGATCTGTGCAAGGTATGGACTGTGAGAGACTGCATCAACACATGTATTAGTTTTAAGTGCTTTATGTTCGATTTCATGATCATATTCCAGCAGCATGAGAGATCATCCCGGAAGACGGTTATTGGTGCCCTAAAGGCATTTCAGAGTAAGAAGAAACGCTATTCTCGTATTCATTTAAACCTTATATCTCTTACACACTTAATAATTGCATCTCTTTAATTTAAAGTTTGATTTCTTGTACATTTAAACTTGTATACTGCATACATTAAAAACTTGTATCTTTTATTCAAATAAAACTTATATATCTTATAGCTTAAAGCGTGTCTGTCTCATACATTAAAAAAACCGTCTATCGCGTATTCATATATATATCATGTAAACGTCTTTATTATGAGGAACAAAACAATGAGTTCCTCATAATAAAGAAGCTGACATCCATAAATTTTCTTTCTTAAATTATATTTTGTATTCATTTAAAACTATATCTCTTATACATTTAAAACTTTACAATAATAATTGTATATGCCCATGATTTTAAGTTTCCATCTAGTATTTATTAAAAACTTATATTTCGTATTCATTTTAAACTTTAATATCATATTCATTCAAATTGTTGAATCTTAAAGATAGTTTAAATTTATATCGTTTTTATTTGAAACTCACATACGGTGTCTCGTGTGCATAACATGAAAATGACGAGTGCTTTTGACACTCACAGAGTAACAAAGTGTTGAAGCAAGGTACAGTCCTCTCTAACTAAAACAACAATGTAGGGTGTACCCTGTTAGATCCGTGGCGACTAGTCTTGCGTAATTTGTTTCGTTATTCAGGTCGGGGAGTGAATTAACATTGAAAACAGCAACAGCAATGTTTCAGCTTATAGCAACGAGAAGACCCGATGTAGACGACAACATCTACTGTACAAGAAACTAATAACCGACAACCATGACAACCACAACAACTACTACCACCGCTACTACTGCAACGAAAAATGTTGCTGGTTATTGGTCAAGAACCAGGACTACCACAGCTACAACTGCTACAACTGCTACAACCACTGGTACTATTACTGTAAAGAGAGTCAATTTGTCACGTCTGTATTTATTATAATTAGAAGGTTTCTGGTCATATTTATATATAACCCTGAAGGAAAAACGTGCGAAATCAAATGTCAAGATCTTATACGCTATTATGAATCGTTTGAATGATATGAGCATGTGCAAAGTCGTAAACATGCTATATTTCAAAGAATGAAAATTCACAAGAACTTCGATATGCTATTCTTTGTCAACACAAATAATGTTAGTGTCGAATTGACTGAATAACAAATCAGCACGGAATACCTTGCACCTTTGACAAGGTAGCATTTCAATGATTGAAATACCATTTCTGTCTGACAGTGATCTTTCCAATAACATGGGAAACGGTTCGTCCTATGTGAACAGCCCCTCAATTTATTTGCATGCCTCACCAAACTCTCCACCAGACTGTATGACCTGAGGGACGACTATCCAACAGTTAACTCTCCACAAGACTGTATGACCTGAGGGACGACTATCCAACAGTTAACTCTCCACAAGACTGTATGACCTGAGGGACGACTATCCAACAGTTAACTCTCCACAAGACTGTATGACCTGAGGGACGACTATCCAACAGTTAACATTTCACAAGACTGTATGACCTGAGGGACGACTATCCAACAGTTAACATTTCACAAGACTGTATGACCTGAGGGACGACTATCCAACCGTTAACTCTCCCTTTAAGTCAAGCAATGTTCTAGCACTCCCAGTCTTTGGTGTCTATATTCACAACACTTGAGATACAATCGATCATGCTCTTTCCACGAACATCTCCAAGAGCGTCACCCGACTCTTACTCAAAAGTTTTTTGGTCCAGGTTACAGCATTCAAGGCCTCAGTAATTTTTTCAAAGGTGTTGTGGTAGACATGTGGAGGACATTTCCAGATTGGACGCATCAGTGATATAAATGATGTCCGATGCAATTTCCTATTTTAATTTGTACCATATGTTCCCCAGTTTTTTAGGTGAACAATTGACTTGCCTTTGCATGTGTTGGTGACGGGTGTCACCGGTGGGGCAGGATACGCTAACCCTTTTGCTAACATCCTCTCTACTGGACAATCATATACACATCCTCACGATATAGTCGGAATCGTAATTTGGATTCCGCTTATAACAGAGATTTTTAATGAATATGAAATTGGTATTGTCGCTTTTAGTATACAATCCACTTAACAGTGAAAAGTGAAAACGCACGTAGAGATACCTATACACTGCGAGCATACAGAGAGACATGTGTATTGGCATATAAATTCACTAAGAAAGATGCTTCCATGACGGACAAGATAAATATTACACCTTGCCAGTTGAGTGTGTATTTTTATAAAGATATGGAATTTTATAAAAAGTTAAAAAAATAGACTGTAATGTCATCAAAGTATACGCTCTTGCAGGCTATGTAATAATACATCTAATTTGGTGAACCCTGAAGTATTTACTCTTTGCTTTTGAGACGACCTTCTTCTTAATCCGGATTAAACAAGACACCTGCAATACTGATTTCGCACGACATCCCAGAAGCGGATTAGTGAAAAATCAGTGTATCACCGCCCTGCGAATGAACCGCTGAGGGAACTCCCTTATGACTCTGTTTATACCATCTGCTGTGACGTAAACCATATTTAGAGGCCAACCAACGATCTGCGAGGAATCACGGATTATCTGACCTTAGTGAGCGAGTTGTATTAATCCTTAGCCTTTGGCAGATAATCCGGAATTCCTGGGATTTTATCGAAAAAAAATAAATTGTCACAAAAAAATGTTTGAAAAAAATAATCATACTTCAGTCTCCATACAAAATCACATGCCTGGAGACAGCCTATTGTTCAGATGATGTAACGCAATCAGTTTGTGTCGTCAGGTACAATGTATGACGTCACATCGTATTTTGCCTCAACATTCAAAGACTGTGACGTCCTAAGGCTTCAAATGACCAATCAGCAGAAAGAATCGCTAAAATGCACATGTGAAACAATCGAAAAGTTATTTCAGAATTGGCCTTCACTTTGTGTGAGTTCATTGGAGTATGAACCTTCAGAGGGGAAGGGCCAAACTGTATGAACAGGGCTTCTGCAAATGATAATGACCTGAAATATGATTACTATTATTATAGTTATAATGGATAGAATCTGTAGGTTCTCCCAAAATGATCAAAACAATTAACAACAGCTTAAGTTATATTAGTTGCTGCATTCAAAACTTCACACCGGAAGTCACTGATTTAAGCCCCCGTTACACCATCAAAACCTTTTATAAAAAAAAAAACTTGGTCAAAGAAAACTTGGCGGGAATTATCTTGCCAAGATGGATGCTACTGACAAAGAATGTTTTGTTGTTGCCATGTGTATTTTGTGTATTGTCATGTTGAAAATGCGGCGTCGGGGTGGGTAAAGGCATATTTGGTCCCGAGAATGGCCAAATCAATTAATTCTGACATCTCTTCAGTCCAAAATAGTTGGCTCATTTTGACTTGACTCATTGCACTTCCGGTTAAAAAGGGGTAAATATTCCTTGCATTCTGATTGGCTAAATTAAATCAACATCACCAAACTTTGATCAAAGTTTGACGGGAAATAGGCTCGGTAACTATTCCATCAAAGTCCGTCAAAAAATTGTCAAAGTTTTTGACAGCATATTACACTATCAAAAACTTGGTCAAAATGGACTTTGACCAAGTTTTTTTAATCAAAGTTTTTGATAGTGTAACGGGGGCTTTGCAAATAGCAACGTCATATAGCAATAGAATAGTTAGCAGCCCGTCGTTAGGGAAAAGCGGACTGTTGTCACGTTGCAGTGGCCGCAGATTTCTGATAACATGCGGGCATGTTCATGATAATTCTGTCTATTTTAAGTATAATGGGCATATGTCATGTTAACCATATCCGACACCGTTGTACCTGCATAATTTCCGTTCAAACCGTATTTGCCACTGTCATATCCGTCATATTTCCTGTTGTGTTATATAAACCAATGTTATGTAAGCAATATAGCCTCTTTGGCCACATACAGCACTGTTATGTAAGTTATATCATGTGTAACTATATCCGACACCGTTGTATTAATATTATTTCTGTTCCAACCGTATTTGACTTTGATATATCAGTAATAATTACAATTAAACTATTAGACTCACACGCGGACCAATCCTAGTTTATCAATACAAAATATTTGTACCTTTGGAACGTGTATAGGTGACTGAGTATACTTACTATAAAATAACTGATTATAATGTGTCCACAAAAATTATAGAGCTACCAACACAAATTATTCGTGGGCTATATGTATTCAGCTAGCAGTTGTATGTTAAATAGTGATCACAAACCGCAGTCCTTTTTTACAGAAATATGTATCCGTACCTTGTGTAGAAAACTTATATACGCAATAATGCCCTTACCTCACTTTGGTAGTACGTCCTTTCGCAAAGAGATACCACCTCTGTCTGGTCTATCAAGGGCTTATCTATTGACAAACTTGCTCATGAATATCTTCTGTGTGATGTATTGACACTACCGCTCAGAGGCTGCTACCTCCGCACGTAGCTTCATCCTATTCAGAAACGTCCTTTCAAGTACCGTAGCACCCGACGTTATCTGAGAGGCTAACTATTGAGTGCTTCTTTAATACAAACACGAAAGTCCACGAAATCAGCAGTGACTGTTCATCCTTTTCTGTCTCATCTCCTTTCACCCCTGATGGACGCCGTGTTTATACATCCCTGACCTCAAAGCTTGAGCAAAGCCCATACTTACTGTCGACATTACAGCTAGACATGATCAGGATCGACAAATATACCCCTTCGGACCAGACCGTCACAGGTATGCGTACCTGATACAGTATCCATTACCGTTCAAAAATACAGGTGCTTGATACCGACCTGGTCCTTCTCGCTGATTCCTTGCCGTGGGACACTACCTAGTGGTCGTTTTAACCTACGCACAATACAGTGATTGTGGTCAACATAGCAAATGATTTCGGGTAGGCTTTTCGGGATTAATCATGGCTGATTTGTTGTTGCCTGAAATGACTCATTGACTTAAGTAGCGGTAGGGTCCAGTGGGAAGTGCGTTTGGTTTCTTCCCTTCTCTTTTGGCAATATCATGCAAATGTGTTTTAATGCTGAGTATGTACACCAGAATATTGTACGTATACTTCAGAACTGACTTTCAATTTGTGTGAGTTCATTGGAGTATGAACCTTCACAGAATGAGGGGGCGGTCGGGTAGCCCAGTGGTTAAAGCGTTCGCTCGTCACGGCGAAGACCCGGGTTCGATTCCCGACATGGGTACAATGTTTGAAGCCCATTTCTGGTGTCCACCGGCGTGATATTGCTGGAATATTGCTAAAAGCGGCGTAAAACCATACGCACTCACTCACTCACTCATAGAATGAGGGCCAAACTGTATGAACGTCGGAGCTTGCAATGCTTATCATTTTTTATATCACTATTTTTACCTCGAACGACGCAGACCTTGTTCTATACACATTTAATTTACTACGTGCCTTCATGTTTACACTGACAGCCATACAACAACCAGCTGTATCGCGGAGTAAAATAATCCCTCAAAACGAGAAGTGACATGAGCTTATGTAGGCTCAACATGGACAAACATACCCAAATGATATCCTCATTAGATGGCAAAGGTCTGTTAAGAACTACCTCGGTAAGTCACAATGACAGCGCGTCGTTATACATTTACATAAAGTACAAGACGTGAAAACTGCCGATACGATAAACGTGACATGAGAGATTTCGGAAGTTGTTAATGAACCTGTGGCGGTTGCATATTTTAGTCATCATTGATCATGTGACCGATCATTGAAAGGTGATTAAAGAACGACAGTTTCGCGGTCACGTGACCGACCTCTCGTCCAATGGAAAAGCCGTATATCGTGTAAACTTCAAATTGTGCTGCTGTCCAGGGCGAGCTCTCACTTATGATGACGACATTCTAAAAGAGCGGCGAGTCTCTTTAACTATACTCGACAGTCGTATACCCGAGCAGGATATCCGTTCAGGAGACAATATTGGTGCTTTGAACACCTGGGTGAACACATGGACCAGTTAGAAAACCGCAACGTGTTTTATTTAAAGCTGGAAAAGGGTTTTACAGTGCGATGAAAGCCAGACGAGTTTGGACACATAGCTATCACACAAGAGTACATTTTATGTAACCTGTTTCTTTGTGCTGACAGGAAATCATAGTGTTTATAATAGGATTGACTAACGTTTGTAAACGTGTATCCTGTTAGAACATCAATCAGTAGTTTCATCGGTTAAATATCCGCGTTGTTTTGAGGCTCGTTAAGCTTGTCGTAATATCCTTTGGCAGTGGGCGTAAGATCCATCCTAAGTATTTGAAACATTGGCTTTCGACATGAAATTTTGATCCCGACTACTGGATCCTGGCATCTTAAAGGCGCGTGTTTTGGTAAGGCGTAAACCTATTTACCTTTACCTATTTAGCCAGTGTACGTATTAGAGTTTTTTTTCCGGTGTACGTATGTCTTAGAAACTATATTGTTTGGTTACGTAAACAATTGTTTAAGGTTATTTGTTACATACTACTACAAGAATCAAAGCCATGTTCATAGAATTACTGTTAGAATTAATAGTGATGATACCAGGTGTTCGCAAAAAGACGAACGTGCAGCGCACAGTCCAGACAACGTCTGCAATGAATATACTAAGATACTTCACAAATAAACACACAAACAAACGTTATAAAGAACCGTTTGACAAGATTATTTAATCAAATGTAACGGCAACACCTATCCCGTTCGGTTATCCCGTTCGGTTGTTTAAAAACAAACCTGTACCTCGCGAATCCGTACGGGAGGAACCATGTTTACAAGTGATTGAACACTGAGGGACAGTTTATTGAGCTCATCCTGGAGAGTGACCTCTGTCATCGTTTCACAAGACTCACCCGTGTGCAATGTAAGTGGAAGCTCCCATCTGAGGAAAACACGCAAGTTATATGTAGACTGTATTCAGATATGTAGAAATTACATTAAGTCCAAAGAATACACCTGGTTTCAAGGCTTGTCTGCAAACACTCGCATGTAAAACTTATAGAAAGAAAGCCAAGCCTACATGGCGAACCCTTGCAGAATGCACACGGTAAGCATCGACAGAGACTGATGTGTGCAGATCGGGCTTGAATTGGGGCGGCCTTCGATCACATTCCTCGTTACCCACGCTATTAACAGCAAACATCTCCGGTCTAACCTGAATACATCACTACCCGCCTCACATAGACGTGAGACGACACTTTCTTACGCAATAATTACAAGTTACGGACTTATCAACCGGATCAAAGTTTACTAACAAATGAAAAAAGGAATTAATATGAAATTGATATAATTATATTCCGACCACATTGAATAATTAGAAAAAAATACAAAGATACTGCTACAAAATTTAACCAAAAAAAGTCCAAGTTTGTCTCTGGAGGAAATCCTAATGAGGAGAACCAACCCTCGTTGATAAAATATCTAATTGTCATTTTACAGTCAGAAATCATCCTTCGGTTCAAACAGATTATGGCGCTAATTTTTATCCCGCAAAACCACTGACTCAGACGCTCGGCATTAAGTGGTATAAACAAGGATTGTCGGCTTGCTCAGTGTACTGTGTCTGAGTAGGGTTATACTGTGGCATGGTATCTCAGTGGGCTGGCACTATAAAACTGACATTAATTCGGACTAGCAGCCACACACCTATACATGCAGGTTCCTATTTAAGAGGCATAATCAGCATTATGACGAATGACAACATTATGATGGAACTTCACAAACAACATCCACATGATCGAATCCGATTATTGACCACGACGAGTCTCACGAACATGAACGAATAACATGGATCCTTTGTTTGTTTGTTTGTTGTTTAACGCCACACTCTGAAATATTCTAGCTATATGACGGCGGTCTGTAAATAAGCGAGTCTGGACCAGACAATCCAGTTGGGATACGATGCCATGTATCAACCAAGTCAGCGACCCTGACCACCCAATCCCGTTAGTCGCCTCTTGCGACAAACATTGTCGCCTTTTACGGCAGGCATGGGTTGCTGAAGACCTATTCTAACCCGGATCTTCATGGGTGGAGCCCCTGAATGAATAACATTAGTCTGTGGTTTTCACAAGGGACACAAAAGGTGCTACCGACCTCATCTGTAACCTCATGTGTATCGAAGTTCGGGGAGGGGTGTGTGTGGTCAGAGGATGCAGGCCACCCCACCCCTCCTGGTACGAGACCCCCCGCCACCTTATCCCACGTGCCAGGCGGACATACATCTGGGAATGTAACATATGCTCACCGCCAAAAGAAACGCGAATCATAGAAATATATAGAGAAGTGTGTACGTTAAGAAGAGCATTTTCCAGTGTGTACCACTTAATGACAAAACTCACAATCAGTCAAGTGTTACCACAGTGTCTTTATTCTCATCACAATATGCTGCACGTGATTTCCTCACTTTACATGCTAATCCTCTAATATCTCCTGAATATGAGTAATTCTTCACATATTAACCAACATGTATGGTATTCGCGTTTCTTTTGTCGTTAAATATATGTAAAACATGAATACATTGAACCAGATAATGAACATGGCCGCACCTGCCTACATGGCAGTGTATAACGGGTAAATGTTTGCAGATGAAATATAAAGACTGGATCTTCTTATAATGATAACGTGTAACACAACATGGGTTACTGCGCAGTTTGACGTAAGGTGTGAATTTCATCACTATAACGTCTTCATCGTCCACCCAAATACACGCTCTGAGTGTTAACAGGGAGGGGTCTACACCAGATGATGCAGTGTCGTATATACCAAACACGCGGATGTCGCAATGAATGTTTATACAGCATGCATGGTCCAATATGTTTCACACGAAACGTTTACATTCAGTATACAATGAATTGCTAAGTCAAGACTGGTTATTCTCCTGCTTTGACAATTAATATTTACTAATATTTTTGCTTCTTGTTCTTCAATTTGTAGCTCAGTTATTTAAGATGTTTTATATAAATTATGTAACATCTTTTAACTACAGTAAACTACTGTTATAACGAACTCAAAGGGACCACTTATTTCACTGTAGTTCGTTATAAGCATATATACAGCATATATACAACAAATGGCCGGGACTAAAAAATAAGTTCGTTATATCAGTCAGTTCGTTATAAGCGTGTTCGTTATAACCGAAATTTACTGTATTTAGATGTTTTGAAAATGTCCCTATGTTGATAAATTGAAACAATATTCACCATCGACACGGTTATTTGTTAGTTAAGTGTTTGTTCTGTTGAGTCTGACATAAAGCTCCTCCTGACCTAGTTCCCACACAACGCAGCCGCCCAGCCCAAGTCGTTTATGTAGTTGGTCTTCAGGATGACGAAAAATGCACGGAAAAATGTGTTTAGATCGTAACACAAACCAAATACGTTCAAATGTGTTTAGACCCGTGAAGATCCGGGGTAGAATAGGTCTTCAGCAACCCTTGCTTGCTGTAAATGGCGACTATGCTTGTCGTAAAAGGCGACAAACGGGATCGGGTGGTCAGGCTCGCTGACTTGGTTGATGCATGTCATTGTATCCCATTTGCGTAGAGCGATGCTCATGATGTCAAGCACTGGATTGTCTGGCCCAGGCTCGATTATTTGCAGACCGCCGTCATATAACTGGAATATTGTTGAGTGCGGCGTTAAACAACAAACAAACAAAATCATTGTGTTTAGAATCTAAAAATGTTTTAAAATCTAAACCAAAACGCGTTCAGGATATTTCGACTCGAGTGGGTTGTCTAGTAGTTCTGCCAAGTATGGTATACCTGTGATAGTGGAGAAGGCAAATAGTCAATAGAAGAGTTACAATAGGACCGAATCAACACCAATGGTTTCCACACTGTGTGACAAAACTAATGAGAGTGACGACCCCCAGCCTAAACTAAGCCAAGAAACTTACGAAAACATAAAGATACATAAATATACTATGTATCTACTATAGACCGTGTATATGTTAATATTTATTTGAATTCCCCTATCAGATTCAAGAAAAAGGAAGATTTAAACATTTAGAGATTAAATAACCTGGACCCGATTTATCTTCATAATTATTCCACAGTGTTAAAAAGATATGTACAAAGTCGCACCATCCTCCTCACTTTCGAGCAAAATATGATCGAGAAACATTCCTTTTTTTATTCAGCCTAATTAAGTAACTAGGTCACGTGTGTCTGGAAGTACATTCGGTGCTTGTGTTCTTGCACCTCGTGATGACGTCACTCCCTGGCTGTGAATTGACCGTGGTTCACTGAGCTACACTGTGTATGAACAACTATAATATAATCCCTTAATAACTTATTGAATATATCGCACACTTGTATAAGGACCATTGCTTCGTACGATAAATGTTTGACGTTTCACTGACATGGATGTTATCAGCACGGGATTATAACACGTTGGTATACTGGGAAATTACAGACTGAAATGTTTCTGTTTAGCACCAAACGCAGATTTTATTCTTGGTCAACTGTGATTTGAACACATGACTGCCATCAAACTGTAGCAGCGGAATAATCCATTCATTGCTAGATAGTATGGCTTGTTATGATGTTAAGCTTGCTTAGGCTTAGCTGACGAGCGGTTTACTAGGGAGTGGGTGAGCTTTCTTTAACGCCGCTTTAAGCAGTATTTTCGTCTCACGCATTTTCATCACATCGGGACCAGCTTTCATGTGAAGATCACTCATCATCCCGGATATTCCCTGCCTAGCCCATCACGGAAGCTTGACCACTATCGTACCTTGTAAAAACGTTCCTGTATTTATTTCCATCAGTTCATGTTTACGTTTTTTGCATCTGATTTCACAAACTTTACACATTGGGTCTATTTACCGTGATACTACAGGTGTGAGTCGCAAGTTCCATATTCTGTGTTACATTTACGTAACGTATAGCATTGTTTGAAACCAATGTCAAAATAGCATGTGGGCGTAGATCAGAGACCTATAAGAATTCCACGATTGGTTGTCATTCATTACTACCATTGCACATATCGTGAGACAGAAAATAGATTCATTCAATCATCTTTCATAATTGCTTCTAATACAAGTGACTATTTTCGAAAAGAGAATATTTAAGGTATTATTTGACCATTTTTTTGGAATGTAAGGATAAGATATATGGATGAACAACTTCTTTATTACAATTAGGAGGGACGTTTCGGTGTAGGTTCTAACACCGTTATCAAGCAAGTGTTAGTACCGACACCAAAACGTCGCTCCTAATTGTCATAAAGAAGTTGTTCATCCATATATCTTATTCTAACTTTTTACTCCAACTTCTAAATGCCTCTCAAAGAAGACATTTTTTGGAAGACTATCATAACTAAAAGAACAATGTTAATATTGTCACAAGTATTATCCGCGATTGTCAGTTTCTCCTCGTCGGCTGTACGTGATATGGTCTCATTTCGACCGTGCCCTGCTCAGTGTGGAGTTATGTGAAAATACAAATATTTTACCTGTTATGTTTAATTTGAATGAGTTATGATAGCTTTCTTGTCAGTCTCCCGTTCCTCCTATCTATAACGAACAAAATGCAATCTGAAAATGATATAATTTTACTAATAAAGAAATTAAAAACGTGTCAATAGTTTTTACGAAATGAATGTCTCGCAAAGCTTCCTTTGAACACATCTAGGTCATATACCAACGTCTTTGGTTGTCTAGATGTGTCCTTCCTGGTAATTTTTTTAATGTGGTAATTACATCCTCATCATTAGCTTGTCAGGTTCAGACGTGGGTTTGTCTCCCTGTTCCCTAGTGCCAGCATCTGCAACAACATGAGACACTACAGCGACGTCGCCGACGACAGTAGTAGCTTGAACCTCACCAACATCAGATTGGACGGGTTTCGTGTTCTTGACATCTGTTTGTGGAACATCAGTTGCAGTCGACGGAGTAGTTTGAGCCGTCGTATCAGTGACGTCAGGTGTCGAGTCTAGTAGAATGACGGATGGCGAGGTGAGCGTCCCAGGTCCGACTCCACGACTTCGACCAGGGTCGGATGCTAGAAAAGGGTTCTCAACGTAGTAGGGGTCGGCAGCGATGACGGTGGGCGTGGGTAAGAAGTCGCCGGACATGACACCCGTGACGTAGAAGAGGTCGTCGTTGTAGTAGTCGTTTGGTGCTGATGGCTTCCTGGCCTTCGTTCGACGTCTGGACATAGGACACATGTTAAGGAAACGGTACCGCCATAAGGATAAACACAAGAACGAATCACAGCCGCCATCGCTTCTTTGACTTCAAAATTAAGGAATGTACATGTTATTTAAAAACAAAAAAAAGTTAAAATGTTACTTGTCTTTATGCCAAAGTCATGTCAGGATCAGGATTCTTAACCAAAATTTTCACCGATTGTGATCATTGTGAGTTTAACCAAAGTGGTGTAAGGTTATGTTCAGGACCCACTGGCACCAACCGACATTAGCGCCACATCTATTGTGCTCTCCCCACACATTTATTTAATACTCCTTGATGTTCTTGAAATACTTATCAAACCCGCGTGAAACCTAGCTCACTAAGCTAAGTCCTTATCAATAGGCACATTGCTATTTAGTGTTGTACACTTGTTTCCCGTTTTGAGGATGACGTCGCATCCAAGATTATTGCACTTATAAAGCGACGAGCATGCACGTGTGTGTGTGTGGCTGCTTGTGCTAGTCCGGACTGATGCCGATTTATAGTGCTAGCCCACTGAGATCGCAGTTTAAGAAGAATATCCCCCTCAGACACAGTATACTGACTCCGAGCCGACCAGTCCTTGTTTTAGCCCCTTAATGCCGAGCGCCAGACAGGGTAACAACAAGTTCCATCTTTTAACGTGTTTTGGTATGACGCGGCCGGGGATCGAACCCCGGACCTTCCGCTCTCCGGGCGGACGCTTACCACTGAGGCGTTCGTTTTGAGGATGAACGTAAGACATCAAATAACGCCAAGTGTACTGAATGTATACTTACTTGTAGCACACACAGCAGATCACCATGACGATACCGACAACAATGAGAGACCCCAGCCCTCCGACCACGCCCCCCACCACTGTCGTCACGTCCCGTGCCTGGCGTTCTGCAATAGCATCCATTCAAAACTCAGATGTATTTCTAAGAATACTTCACTCGTACCTACATTTCAGTTATCGGCATCTCCGTCCCAATAAAATATTGGATATTACGAGCTTGCACGTTGTTCCTCATAATTTAGTATTATAATATTGTTCTATACCATCTTCTCGAGGCAAGGGAGTTAACTGGCATTAAAAGTCCAGTTTCCACCCTTGTAAAACTAGGATGGAATTATGGTGTTATATTTTTGCTGGACTAACGAGTCTATGCATAGTCTAATCAAAATCCCATAACCATATCCAAACCCGGTTCATAACCAACATGGCAACTGCCGTTTCGAATTCTTTCGATTGTACGATTTGCAGAGCATGTGTCACCAGGGCGTCGACACATATTTGCCAAATCCTTTCATGTTTAAACAAGGGGATATGACGCACTTCGCGAGTTAAAATCCGTTTTATAACAGAAAAGATCTTTATTATTGATGAGAACGCCTTGACTGGGCGCCGCCATTTTGTTTGAAGCAAATGCAAGTGATCTGAGAGGTTGAATCTGATTGGTCAGCAGGAACCACATAGAAGGGACATAACTCGTAATGGCTACGCTATGATCGAGCCCCAAAATTCCAGCCCAGATCGGCTTTGCAGTAATGAAAGAAGTTGTTATCCACAACTTGTGTCTACTTTGTCATCCGTCAACTTCTAAGTAATGCCTATCAAACAATTTATTCCGGCAAGGGTTGAAACCGGACTTTAAAGGTCAGTTACCTCCCTTGCCTCGGGAAGACGTGTCCATACAAGCATTGCATAGCGTTCGGATATTAGATCAGTCTAATATTTGTATATTTAGTCTCAGATGAAATCATTCGAATATTATTCCACATCCTTTAACTGTTCAGGTTTAGTTGTTTATTTACCCGCATGGATATCACAACGCTCGCCGTAGTACGGCTCCGCACACTGACAGAAGACTTTAAGCGACTCCGACTTCCATACACACTGTCCGTTGTTCTCGCAGTATTTTGGATCAACGTCACATGGAGCTGTAAACAAAGAGTCAGTAAGTATATAAATTTATCAAGGGTTTCGCATAAAGTCGCATGAAGTCCTCCCGATTCGACATGCACCAAGGATACATGGTGCACTTTAAATTTAACGCGGGGGATATTTTCCAAGTTATTTGCATCTATTTTTGAATTAGAACGGCAGTATATGATTCAACCGTCAGAAAACACAAATCACGACGAACACACGTGACAACACAGTATTATCAATCTTATCTCAATCATGAGGCAAAGTGTGGTAGCGTATAGGTTAATGCGTTCGCCAGTGACGCCGAAACTCCGGGTTCGAAATTGCGGAGGTGCACATTGTGTTCCGTCGTGCTGTTTTCAACACTAAAAAGTCCCCTGACCCGTGAAGATCCGGGTTAGAATAGGTCTTCAGCAACCCATGCTTGCCGTAAAAGGCGACTATGTTTGTCGTAAGAGGCGGCTAACGGGATCGGGTGGTCAGGCTCGCTGACTTGGTTGATGCATGTCATTGTATACCAATGGCGTGGATCGATGTTCATGATGTCAATCACTTGATTGTCTGGCCCAGAATTGATGATAAACAGACCGCTTTTATATAGCTGAAATATTGCACAGTGCGGTGTTAAACAACAAACAAACAAACAATAAAAAGTCCACTTGATCACTCACAGAGGCACTGCTGAGGAGATCTTGAGCCAGTACCGGAAGTCATCATCGGACCTGCGCACTCCTGACATTTCGTCTGCGCCATCTTGTCTTGGTACGTCCCCACTGGACACACGATACACCTTCGAGGTGTTGCCTGTGCGTAACTCCCGGCTGGGCATGGGACTATTAACAAATGCAAAAAATAATTATTATATTGTACAGATGCACTATAACATATTGTAAAACTGAAAACTCGTCAATAAAGACAAGCTGTTTCAATAAAATCTTTCGGTTTTATAAGTTTCCAAAACAAAGGTTATTAATATTGTTATTAACGGTTATTAACTTGATACGTTTGTATTATATTTCCGAAATTTTTTTACTTCGATGTTTGTTACCAATTACCTCAGCTGTAAAAGGAAGATCCTAAAGTACTTTTACGGTTATTTTCATGTTCAACTACTTGATCTTGTCAAATTAGGGCGATCGGGTAGCCTCGTGGCTAAAGCGTTCGCTCGTCACGCCGAAGACCCGTTCCGATTCCGAACATCGGTACAATGTGTGAAGCCCATTTCTGGTGTCCTCCGCCGTGATATTGCTTGGGTATTGCTAAAAGCGGCGTAAAATCATACTAATACACTCACTCTTGTCAAATGAGTGCAAGATTGGGAGCTCACCACAATTGCCATCTTGAAACATGTGTCCTGTGTGACTGCATAACTTCTCCACCAGCCTCCCAGTCATCCCCACGTAATGAATGCCATACTCTGCCTGAAACAGTCGACTGACTGAACAGATTATGACTGGAACATTATTAAGACTTTTTCTGGAACATTATAAGTGTGCCAAACAGGCTTCCATTCACAAATGCCCATACTGTTTTAGTAAGGCACACTATAGCATAGTTATCTCTCTTTGTTGTTGTGATCCGCTATGCACAGGAAGTGAACTGTGAGCACTGTAACTCACCAGACTTGAGAAGATCTCTTTGTCAAAGAACATCTCTGTGAGTACACTGTCAGTGGTGCGCGTCACGATGACGCCGTTAGCGTTGGGCACTGACGTCAACTCCTCACTGGCCGTGTGAAACACAGAAGAAACAAGATGTGACGTTGAGATTTATGGAGGGTCTTTTAAGGAGTGATTTGAAAACAACTGATATTTTCAAGAGTGGTGCAGAGATGATATGTGTCTTTTACAAGAAAAGGCAAATGTTCTATTTTTATGTATTTCTACAGCAAAATTGGAACATATCCCTCATCGCTAGCACATGTTTTTACGCGATTATATATAATTGATGTTCAGAAGAATGCATCTTCCTGAGACAAGGGAATCTGATTATGTCAATAGGAGGACATAGAACGGACACAACTCGTAAAAGCCAATGGTGGTGTTACGATCGAGCCTGGAAATTCCAGCAAAGTTCGGCAAGGGTGGAAACTGAACTGTTATATTAAGTTAACGTCCTTGCCTCGGGAAGATGAAAGAAACGCGATTTCATAATGGGAGAGAAAGAGTCATAACGGCAATTAATACCCGTAGATCTACTATGGGATATTGTGTCTCAGGATGCCAATAAATTGATAGGATTAATAGAATTAATAGTCTTTTAAGGAGCGGACTGTACGATAAAATAGTCTTTTAAGGAGCGGACTGTACGATAAAATAGTCTTTTAAGGAGCGGACTATACGATAAAATAGTCTTTTAAGGAGCGTCCTGGACTTTTCGATAAATGGGTAGGAGGACTACTCACGGCACATTTTCCAGCACAACCCTAACTGTGAGCTGGGTGTGGCGCGTCTCCCCTGCCTGTCTCCGCCTTCTCTCCCCTCCCTCGCACCCCTCAACCCGCACCGTCTTCACGTTACTGCACCCCTGGTGACACAGCTTTGACCACGTGTGACTCGCGCCAGCCATCACTCTGTGTATTCCGGAGGCGATGGCTGCATTGATGATGTCACTGCTGTCACACGTCGTCGTGTTGAACTTCAGCGTCATGTGGTACATCGTCATCAGAACCTCCTGGACAGGAACTCCCTCTACAACGACCAATACACCGTCAATTGGATGTTTCATCGATATACGGAGTCCCAACTTCCTTACAAGACATTGGGTAGACATGGATGAAGATAACTAGCATACGGCCCCTACTGCCAATATACAGGTGGTGTTGGAGCCGCTATCTCTCTCCTGTACAGAATGTATAGGGATTTCGTCCAGTGGTTTAAGGGTCCGCAGTATCAGAAATTATTACATGTCACAAGTGATTAAGGAAGAGACTGGTGTATAGTTTTAAACATATTTTATGATTTATAGCTAATCCGAGATTTAGAAGTGCGCTTTAAAACCTTCATCGTAAATTTGCTCAGGAATTGATCCGTTGCCCCCAGAACTGACATACTGAGAAACAGATATTAAACGAGGAACGATTGTTGGGGACATGGCTGTGAAGAGTTGCGTCCCTTTACCGCCCACAACAGAGGATCGTACAGAGGATCCTGATACTGTGCCCGTGCGTGGTATGCATCTACGATCTACGTTTCTTTGGGCTTCTCTCCTACATCCGTGATTTAACGTGATTTACTGTTGAAACCGGCGTCAAACTGTATTGACTGCTTCCAGGAGAGGCCCTACTCCCCGGTATTTTACAGTCGAGAGCTCACGTGCCCTTGTTCTAGTGTCCAGAGCGTCTGCCCGGAGAGCAGAAGGTCAGTGGTTTGATTCTGTGTCCGCGTCATACCAACAGCCGTTAAAAGATGATAGTTTTTGTTACCCTACCTGGCGCTCGGCATAAAGGGGCTAAAACAAGGACTGGTCGGCTCAGAGAGAGTATACTGTGTGTGAGTGGGAAATTCATGTTAAACTGCGGCATGGTATCTCAGTGGTCTAGCACTAAAAAAAACCAAATTTAGTCCGCACTAGTACAAGCGCGCACACACACACACACACAAACACACTCACACGCGCGTCTCTATGTCAGTGCAATCTTCTTTAACCTGTCGTTAAACCCTATATCACCTCTGCTCTTCCAGGACAAACAGTTTCAGTATATTTGTTTTCACAAATACGTCACTCCTGTATACATTCAACACAGCGTACTGCGCATTAGTACAGGTGCGAATATTTCCACAACCTTTATATAGATTCGTTCGTACACGCGCTATCATTTGTCATTGTTAACGATATATAAACTGGTATTTTACGGGCGGTTCAGACAGTGACATATGTTTGTTTGTCGTTTAACGCCGGACTCAGCAATATTACAGCAATATGACGGCGGTCTGGAAATAATCGAGTCTGAACTAAACAATCCAGTGATTGACATCATGAGCATCGAACCACGCAATTGGGTTATGATGACATACATCAACCAAGCCGGCGAGCCTTACCACCCGATCCCGTTAGTCGCCTCTTATGACAAGCATAGGTTGCTTAAGACCTATTCTAACCCGGATCTTCACGGGCCCGATTTTAATTAGATTAGGGTTGACTATTATGGCTAGAAATGACAGGACAAGTAGGATATGACCTCCCCTTCGCAAGCTACGGAGTCACGCATGTTACAACAGATAACGTTAAATAAATTAAAAGTGAAATATGTGTGGCGTACCGGGTAGAGGAACACAGGTGACACTGCCAGTTGTCATGGTGATGTGGCCAGCTGGACATTTGACACAGTAAGCAGACGACAGGTCGGGGCGCGTGAAGCCCAGACGACACTTGGCACATTTCTTCTCAACATAGCTGTATTCATGGCCCACAGAACAGGATTCTGGAACACAGGAACTACACATCACTGGGGGGTATACCAAGATGATACAACTAATCATGACTACCTGTTCGAGTCCGAGGGGCGGTCGGGTAGCCTAGTGGTTAAAGCGTTCGCTCGTCACGCCGAAGACAAGGGTTCGATTCCATATGGGTACAATGCGTGAAGCCCATTTCTGGTGTCTCCCGTCGTGATATTGCTGGAATATTGCTAAACATGGCGTCAAACCATACCTACTATACGAGTCCTAGATAGACACCTGTTATGATACTTGCCCTGTCCGCACAATGTCCGTGCTGGTGGTGTACACCAACGTGGTAACGGAGTAAAAACCTTGATACATAGGCGGGCCCAGAGTGGATCCAGCTGTCCAGGGGGTCCGGGCCACCAACCACAACCACTCCCCCTCCCCTCCCCTTTTGAAAACCTAATATAGTATATTATAGGCAGTAACATTATCTGAGAGAAGATTTTGATAACCTGGACCACTTCCTTTTAAAAATGCTGAGATCCACCCTTGTGATATGATGAGATTATTTAAACCTGATCAGCTTAATGGGTTATGTCTGTGGAAAAAAACACATCACTCTTTCCGAGGAACCTCTTATCATAACGTGAATCTTTGCGAAGTATGACAAGGAATATTAAGGATAATAACTTCTTTTATTATTAAATTAAAACGATCATGTCGGTCTTGTTAAAACACATTTGTATTGGATGATAGGAAGGACTTTTTCCAATTTCCTGTGGAATATATGCATGTAGACGTGTGACTAGTGAGGAAGGGATTCAAGTGTTGTGAAATCATCAATATTAGAGTCAGTGGCTGGTACCTTACTAGTCTGCCATACAGATCCTGAAACAAATATATCCATACAGCTAATGCAAGTCTATCATATTTGGCAAGTCTAGATTACTGCAGTATCTGAAAATGAAGAAAGTTTCTGGGCTCCTTTTTATTATATTTCATAACTATAATTTAACAACTGTTTTTTTTCTGTATGAAAGTTCATTTCAGACACTAGATGTTAGTCTTGTACATTACCAACACAGAAGTACCGGTCTCTCGCGCCCTCCGTGCTGGTGTTGGTCCCCGGGGGGCACCGTAGGCACTCGGTCCTCTGTGACCGGGGCTGGTAAGACCCTCTGGGACAAGGGGTGCAGCCAGACTCACTCAGTCGCCCGAAGGTCCCTGGCTGACAGTCACCTGACAACAGGAAAATGGTGTTGGTGAACATATTCACGATTTCTTACGTAGTTATCAAAAGAACCGAGATGCATGAATCACAGGAGTCCGTATCTAAAAATAGACCCTTCGGAGCTCGCGTGTGGAGATTGTCATGAATATGCATGAGGGTGTCTATTTTTAGATACGGACTCCTCTGCATGAATGAATGTTATTTTGCGGCACATTTATCAACTTTGCATTTTCTGTAAATAATCAGGTCGGGCAAACTAGTGCTTGATAGCATGAACAGAACTCTCCGCCGTCGGGTACGATGGCGGGTCACACATTGTACCACACCCGTGAAGAACTGGGGTAGAATAGGTCTTCAGCAACCCATGCTTGCCGTAAACAGCGACTATGATGTAGTAAGAGGCGACGAACGGGATCGGGTGGTCAGGCTCACTGACTTGGCTGATTCATGTCATCGTATCCCAGTTGCGTAGATTGCGTGGTTGCGTGATGCCAATCACTGGATTGTCTAGTCCAGACTCGCTTATTTACAGACCGCCGTCATATAGCTGGAATATTGCCGAGACCGGCGTTTAACAACAAACAAACATTGTACCAAAAATTGTTTCTCATTTTAATTGACTCTTAGGACAAAATCTGGATGCTGTTGACCTTTTTTGCCTTTGAATCCTAATGGAGTGAATATAGAGGAATGTATGTCAAACGACATTCATCATGGTGTGGACATACGTCTATGTTAACGTCAATAGCACATGTATTTTGCCTCGATTTACCTGCTGTACACAGTAGTGTTATACTCCTTCAAGACTAAGCTTATGTCACTAACCTTTGGATGCAGTAAGAACATCCCTCACTTTGGACAACAGAGGATATCTGCCCTGCCCACAGAACTTCCCGCCAAAATCATCCTGTCCCATCTCCCAGAGCATAGCGCCCCCTAGCTGCTGCTGGCGGATGTAGAGAGCCTGGAAGGAGAGGCACACTGGCTCACTGCTCCTCAAACATGTACCAGGCCATGATGGAACGGACAGTACATCAATGCAATGTATAGGGCGATACAGATCGTGAGACCACGTCATTCAAAGTATATGTTTTACTGCCACGTTTTTAATCGTAGAATGTGTTGTTTGAATGCTTGGCTAAATCTGTCATTCATCGCCAACAACTGGAGGGATGTTCTAAATCCCGCTAGGGTCGATGCAGGTAGCGAAAGTACTGCAAGTCCCCATGATCTTCAGTTGCTGGCGATCCATAACCCGATTTAAATTGTATTGTTTACTAATAAATTATTTTTTACAAATTTTCAACTAGTTTTATTTAGAATCAGTGACATTCGAATTGTTGTACTGTCAATCGATGACACGTTTTTATTAAACGTAAAGATATGTATTATTAATGTATAAATTCTCGTCACGTCACGAAATATTGTCGATGTGACGTTAACTTTTAACTCACTCACTACAGTTCATGAAACATCTGCTCCGTGGACGATTATTTATCATTCCATAACGGATGTTTGTTGCAGCCATTTCGGGATCGAACCTTTTTCTCCAAACTTTGGAGGTCGTCGTACCCAATCCACTGCTCGCGGCTGTAGATGGCAGGAACATCGCTGACATCGTCCCAAACACGTGTCCAGTTGGAACTTCGGACAAACTGGCAGATCTGTCAACATGAATAACTAACTTTACAAACAAAAATCTAAAAACTTAAATACCTGTCTGGATATTGTTCTTGAAATTAGCCATTGATGGAGAGTAACCGAATAAATTCATATGAATATGACGGCGGTCTGTAAATTATCGAATCTGGACCAGACCATCCAGTGATTAAATTCATATGAACTGAAAGGATACATCTTCTGAAACGTCTTCAAATGCGAATAATCATCCATATACACGATTCTCGTTGTCATTTGTAAACTGGATTTTGTTGTTGTTGTTTTGGGTTTGTTTGTTTGTTTGTTTTGGTTTTGTTTTTTTAGGGGGAGGGGTTGCTTGTTTTATTGTGATTTTTTCTTGTCCCAACACAACTATAACAAATAGTTTTGCATTTGCTTCAAAAATATTGTTTTTGATCCCCGGTCGGTCCCTTAGGTGCTGTGAGGTATTATATAGACATTTAATGGTTGGTCCCTAACCGCTCGGCCCCTCCCTACCCCGTCTACCCAAAACCGTGATCAGTGCGTCTACCTGGTAGTAGGGGTAGAAGCCGGTGGTTCCGTTCCCCGGGTCGTACAGGGAGGTGAGGTGCTGACTGAGGAGCACGTGGTACCTGCCGTAGAAGGGGATTCCCACCACCAGCTTGTGCCGTGGGGCCCCCTTGTTCGCCCAGTAGTTGATGCTGTAGCGCTGAAACACCGTGCTTGGACACTTGAGACAAGATATACACTGAGTAAAAGTATTTGAAGCATTCATTCCTACATTCATTGACTAGAGTTATATGAAGTAGGCGTGTCCATAAACATGTTCATGACGTGAGTCGGAAATGATCTACGTATGTCTTCCGATAACACCCTTTCATCAATCACAAGAGAGTCACGGATAAGGGAACGATGGTGAAGAAATGGTCCATGTACACTCTCTCTCTCTCTCTCTCATACACACACACACACACACACACTCCGAGAGAGAGAGAGTGAGTGAGTATGGTTTTACGCCGCTCTTAGCAATATTCCAGCAATATCACGGCGGGGGACACCATAAATGGGCTTCACACATTGTACCCATGTCGGGAATCGAACCCGGTTCTTCGGCTTGACGATCCAACGCTTTAACCACTAGGCTACCCGACCGTCTCACTCATGTTGAGAGAGAGAGAGAGAGAGAGAGAGAGAGACTTACATTGACGTACACCCTCGAACAGCGTACGTCCGATGCACACCAAGCATGTTACCTACCTACTCCGGTCCCTCCTAGTTCTATATACGGGCAACTATCATATCTTCCCAAGCCAAGGGAAGTGACCACAAAAGACAAGTTGACGCTTATATTCAGTTAGCTCCCTTGCCTCGGGAAAATGGACTACTTTTAGATCAGACAAAGTAAATCTGCAACATACCACGCTGTACTTCCGGTCTTCTTCCGAGTCCCCAGGCCGGCTGGAGAGGGGGGCGTGGTGGAGGAGGCGTGATCCGCGGGAGGCGTCCAGGTCATAGGTCATCACGTTCAGGAAATCCACAGCTCTGAATGATGTAGTACCGACTTACTGGCCTCTGCTTTAGTACTACTCTCGAGAACCTTATATATACAGCAGTATAATTCTACTTTTAATGTGAAATGATAAAAAGGCTTCAAAAGAAACTAACTGGGAAATCGAATAAACCTCGTATCCATCGTCGACGATGTCCCGCGAGGCGGCGACAGCAACAGTGAGGAGAAGACGCGGGAGGCCAGTCCGGCTTGCTTCGGTGATCATCTTGTTCCGAAGACTCTGACAAAAAATGTAGCGTTGTTTACCTGTATAAGTGTTGTGTAGCGTTGTTTACCTGTATAAGTGGTGTGTAGCGTTGTTCACCTGTATAAGTGTTGTTAAGCGTTGTTTACCTGTATAAATGTTGTGTAGCGTTGTTTACCCGTATAAATGTTGTATAGCGTTGTTTACCTGTATAAATGTTGTGTATCGCTGTTTACCTGTATGAATGTTGTGTAGCGTTGTTTACCTGTATAAATGTTGTATAGCGTTGTTTACCTGTATAAGTGTTGTGTAGCATTGTTTACCTGTATAAGTGTTGTGTAGCGTTGTTTACCTGTATAAATGTTGTGTAGCGTTGTTTACCTGTATAAGTATTGTGTAGCGTTGTTTACCTGTATAATTATTGTGTAGCGTTGTTTACCTGTATAAGTATTGTGTAGCGTTGTTTACCTGTATAAGTGTTGTGTAGCGTTGTTTACCTGTATAAGTGTTGTGTAGCGTTGTTTATCGGCAGGTCCACTGCCTCCCCGAACAGGCCACACCCAAGCTATATCCACGCCGTCGAAGTTGATCCTCCTGATGTAATTGATGATGTTGTCACAGAACGTGTTGATCCTGTCCCCGTCACTCACTACTGCCACGAAGGGAGCGGAGCCATGTGTCTGCCCGCCCACGGCCAATAACACCCTCAGACTGGGGTTCGAATCCCGTAGCTTGGACACCTGCGCGTATGTCCCTTGAAACAGGTGTTTTTGACATATGCTTTAATATTAAATCACTACAATTTGTTCTTTATTGAATATATACATACGACTCTTATGGATACAGTAATAGAAACAATATGTAACACTTCAATAGTTTAGAGGTGAGTTGAGGTGAGGTGAGGTGAGGTGAGGTGAGATGGTTTTTAACGTCACGTCCAAGATTATTGCACTCATATAGCGACGTGCATGCACCTGTGTGTGTACATGTGAGTGTGGCTGCTTGTACTAGTGCGGACTGATTTATAACGCTAGCCCATTGAGATACCATGCCGCAGTTTATCATGAATACCCCACCCAGACACAGTATACTAACTCCAAGTCCTTGTTTAAGCATCTTACTGCTGAGTGCCAGGCAGGGTAACAACAAGTACTATCTTTTGGCATATTTTGGTATGACGTGGCCGGGGATTGCACACAGGACCTTCCACTCTCCGGGTAGATGCTCTACCACAAGACCACGGAGGCTGTCTCACACAAAGTAGGCATTTAACTGAACCTTATTGTTTATGTATGCTAAAGACAAAAGTAAATGGTTGTCGTGGTTGTTGTGTGGCAATGCAAGTTTGTCTATCATAATCTGCTATAACAGCGTGATACATCAAGTTCTAAGTGTAATAATCTTCAAGTTCCATCTGATGTCTTTTGAAAGTACATGAAAATGACGAGCGTCAGACAGGGTAACAACAACTACTATCCTTTCACGTCTTTTGGTATGACGCGGCCGGGAATCGAACATCGGACCTCCCGCTCTCCGGGCGGACGCTCTACCTCTAGACCAAGGAGGCGGTCCAATATTTTAGAGCCTAATAGTTACAGCGATATACAGAACTCCCTCAAGAAACACTACTGTTCTGTGATAAAACGTTTTATATGTATTTTGATATGACTTGATGTAGATCAATACTTAACTAAGGCAGTGAACGAAACTCACCGTCGGGTGTGTCGTCATTCCATTCATATGGTGCCAGAGTGTTACCACTGTCGTTGACTTGAGCGAAGGCGATGATGATGTGAGTGCAGAGGGAGACGTCGGTGATGTTGGCGACAGTGAAGCGAGCATCTCCTGGACGATTCTGTGACCAGTTGGTCATGTAGCACACTCGACGAAACTCTCCATGACAGGACACTACGGGACAAAACATTAACATTTCTGTTAAAATACATACAATTACTTACAACACTGCCGACAAAATGTCTGAACAGTATTACTTTGGCTCCCGTATAGCGCCATTACATCCGTCAGAGTTTATTTGTTTTTGTTTACGCCGCGCTCAACAATTATCCAGCTATATGACGGCGGTCTGTAAATAATCGAGTCGGGACCAGACAACCCTTTGATTGGCATCATGAGCATCGATCTATGCAATTGGGATATGATGACAACCGTCAATTCATTCATATGTCCAGGGTTTACGTGTTAAGTTCACTGACAGTATTTGCATATTATACGATACTGTTGGATCAAGTGGAAAAGCAACGGGAGCAACTACTTTGGCTTGAATAGTCGAGTTTGATCAACATGCCTGACAGTTTGTTCGAGAATACATTCAATAGTTCACCGTATTCATTGACGGAGACCCGTGAAGATCCGGGGTAGAATAGGACTTCAGCAACCCATGCTTGCCGTACAAGGCGACTATGCTTGTCGTAAGAGGCGACTAACGGAATCGGGGCGTCAGACTCGATGACTTGGTTGATGCGTGTCATCGTGTCCCAATTGCGTAGGTCGATGCTCATGATGTCAATCGCAGGATTGTCTGGCCCAGACGCGATTATTTACATACCGCCGTCATACAGTTGGAATATTGCACAGTGCGGCGTTAAACAACAAACAAACAATGTAAGAGTACACAGTTCATACTCACCTGTGAAGAGGGTGACCATTAGTCCCACCACAAACAACATCATGGACGACATCTTCACGGCGGCCGTCTCACTCATCAGCGGGGAATCTACACAAGACAATACATGGAATACTGTGTGCAATCTTCAACTCTCAGAGACTATAATGTCATATAGTCCACACAGAGGATTCTCAACAATGCTTAATACCACACAACTTCCCACCGTGGATTCTGGGCAAGAATAGGTCCCCGGCAACCTATGAAGGTCGTGGGAAGCGACTAAATGGATCGGGTGGTCAGGCGGTCGGTGACTTGCGTGTCATCAAATACCGACGTTGTAATATTGCTGAGTGCGGCGTTAAGCAACAAACAAATACAACTTCCTGTGTGCTTTTCAGCAGGACGGCATGGAGTAAGCATGTATGGATTGCAATACTATGTAACTTAAACCAACATGCAACAACCGCCATCTACAGGTAGATTTAAAAATAAAAATTGAATTGTAACATGTTGTTAGGAAGGTATTTGCATATTTTGCCGACAGCCTCTCTATTGTGGGATATGGTGCATATCGAACCACAAACAGCATTACCTCTAGTAGAAAACGCAGCCTGACTAAAACAGGCAAACAACTGTTATCGTGACTCGCGTGACACTTTGTGGACAGTATTGAGATCCCAGCGTTCCGAACCAGTAATCTCCATATCTTACCAGGACATCAACCAATCACTGTTAACTCTTCTTGTTCCCAACCTGGGGAATATAGGTATACTATCTCAACTGGTGAGTATACATGACAGGCCTGCATGTATTATTCAGGCTAGAAACAATACTGCAGGTATTATAGGTATTACGTGCGTGTACATGTATGTGATGATTATAGCTTGTGGTACGGAACGTGTCATTAAGGCAGACTGGTCGTACTACTGGCAGATCCAGAGGGACGCGCACCCACTGTTTTCAGACACCTAGTTAACTGCGCCCTTGTGACTTGGCTAGTATGCGCACCCAATTTTTAAAAAAAAATCATGGATCCGCCTCTGCATACTCTTACTTTGTTTGTTTGTTTGTTTGTTGTTTAACGCCGCACTCAACAATATTCCAGCTATATGACGGCGGTCTGTAAAAAAATGAGTCCGGACCAGACAATCCAGTGATTGGCATCATGAGCATCGATCCACGCCATTGGGATACGATGACATGCATCAACCAAGTCAGCGAGCCTGACCACCCGATCCCGTTAGTCGCCTCTTACGGCAAGCATGGATTGCTGAAGACCTATCCTACTCCGGATCTTCACGGGTCTAATCTTAATTACTCGTACTTACTCTTACTGTTTAGAAGATGTTCTGCTGTTTAGGAGATGGTCTGCTCCTGGTGTGACTGCAAATGTAAATGGAAGATATCGACACAAATGGTTCCCCCAATAAACGTGTTATATATTCCATAGAAAGTATAAACAATATTTGTATATGGTGATAAAGGAATAAAGGATCGTAACTAAACAATTGAAACCCGTCGCTGTCGTTTAGGCGGGAGAGGGGTCAGTAATGGGTCTATAAGCTACATTCCTACACACATTAGATCGCCTATGTGATAACAAATACCACATGACTTTAATTATGTACTGAAACAGGTACCCGTCATGAATATGTCCCTGAACTGTGGCGAGATGCACAGTATACACGCGACGCAATCTGCCGATACGTGTATGTATACGTCTCCCGCCATTCCAACAGAATGCATTGCAATTGTATTTTCAAGTATTATATACATATTGTTCACGAAATTTCATCTCTTTAATCTAATATATCAAAACGTTACTCGGCTGTAACAGTCTCCGAAGTACTGCACACTATAGGTCTAAAATACAACTATGATACCCCTATCAAATACATCACCATCGAATAACCATTTTTTGTTCGTTTTTACTTATACTTATCAGTTCCTGGTAGTAATTGTGTGCTCGTTCTAACAGCTTCAGCTGCTCCGACGACACACACACACACACACACACACACACACAAACACGGGCTGGGACGGGTAACTCGGGTACCCGGGTGGGGTGGGTACTGACTAAGTAGGACCTGGGTACCCACAGGACTAACCGGACCCGTGGTTAGTCACGTTATATATTGTTTAATGACAAAATTATGTAGAACTCTATGGTTACACTCCATGTCACTAATGTTCGCATTTCTTTCTGACTATGCACCCATTCCTTCTGATTTTTCATATGGTTGAATAAAGATAGAACTTAATTCAACTTAAGTGTATGAATGACCAGATTGTTTAATACGTGTATATAAATACGTTTTGCCAATGCTATGCTAAAAATGTTCCCAATCGGACATTTTGAGACATCTCCTGAGACCTACAGTGGGTACCCGGGTAGGGTCGGGTAATAGGGGGTGGGTACCCGGGTAGTGAATTTGGACTCGTCCCAGCCCTAACACACACACATACATAGTCTAGTGGATACTGATATTCACACCAACACAACATGCTAAAAGATATAACCTCCAAAAAGGATAACATAGAACCAGTAACAGACTACATCTTACAAATTCCCAGGAAATACTTACTTGAAGTTCTTGCCTCAGCCCCTCCATCCGGGTCCCATGGCGTGTTGATGCGGTCTTGTGTTTCGATGAAAGACGTCTAGGTTTCTCGAGTTTTTAAAATCATTTCCGCCTAATAATACAGTATCTTTCTCAACAAGATGTATGTTATTATGCCAGCCTTCTGTGAAAGCCCACGGAGGTGTGGTATACGGTGACATGATGGTGGCGTGACCGTGCGCTCACCCAGAACGTCCCCGATAGCAGGTAAAGCAGATCCACCCGACATAGACTGGTTCGCCGCGTTCTCGTGTACCCGTTTTAACGTGCTACATCATAGCCATATGGGAGTAAAACGGGTGTTTTCTAATTTAGTCAGATGCGCCTGGGACTGTGACGGGATCTTATTGATATTGATGAACAGAATTGTGTCTTGTCAGTCGCATTGACCATAGTCTGATTGGTCTTTTCTTGTTCACCGTGGTCGTCACGCTGACGAGTATGAAATGCACACGGGTTACGAGTGCCCAGATGATGATACGGCTGAAAAGGATTCAGTAACTGATAGAGACAGGTCCTGATATAGAAGCGTGAAACCAGTTTGACAGGATCCGTCTGTTCGCATGCTATCCATCTACAAACTTTTTTTTAAGACAAAGTAACTTCCCGTCAGAGATCAGTTCCTTGTGGAAAGCAATGCCGAACCCACACGACACAACCGACATGTCTGCATGACTGTAGGTTTATACATTGTAAACGTTGTCAAATTTCAAATTGTATTTCAGATATCATTACCCAAAATCCCTGCACAAATGGAGGAGGTATATATTTTCGGTGAAGATAAGAGGTTATAAATATTTAGTTTGTTCAGAAATATGGCCAAAATGAATAGTTTGTTATCAGTTGTGAAAAAAATGAATGGTTTGTTTCGTGGAAAAATACCCAAACATCAATTGTTTTTGTGTTAATAGTGAAAATAAATAGATTGTTTGATGGTGCATGCTCAGTAAATATATACCTTGTTGGATACGGCTGGAATAAAGTAGATTGTTCTGAAAATAAAAAAATCCGGAGTGCTGCATTTGGCTTGGCTTTTCTTAAATAGTGTTTAACCAAAATATAATAGTAAATTGTAATAGATTGTATATAATAATAAATTGTAAGGCAGCTGTAAACTTAACGGTGTAAACTTTGATTGGCATTTTGGAATTAGAATGTGTAACTTATAAAAGGTGCAAGATTAATCCGACTTGCTCGGTAACGGTGTTAGACTCTACATCTACTCTAGTCTTTGGGACTGGTAAATATATATTAAATTATTGGGAAAAGTCAAGTATATTATTATTATTATTATTATTATTATTATTTTACTACTCTGAGACTTCCCGACACCTCTAAAACAGTTGGCGTATCCTTGTTACCCCACTGAATTCGGCTGTGTTCATTTGTAAGTTTATAAGATAAGGCAGGGGCGGTGGGGTAGCCTTGTGGTTAAAGCGTTCTCTCGTCACGCTGAAGACTCGAGTTCGATTCCCCACTTGGGTACTATATGGCCGTATATATTGCTGGAATATTGCCAAAAGCGACGTAAAACCATACTCACTTACTATAAGTTAAGGCTGAGGTTAACCCATGCAATTTTACCCCTTTGAATTTCTAGTTGTTGATTATACTCTTCACAAGGAGTAGGGGATCATGAAATATAAATGTAAATAGCACGTATTAGAAAAGATAGGTGTTGAGGACAAACACCCTTTACAAGAGCAATTATGTCTGTAAAAGTAAATATCAAACCACATCCTATATCGTTTACACGTGCCTCACACAGTAGCACCATTCACGTGGGTTGGGTGTCATTCCTGATTTTGACACCTTCAAGGAAGGTCGATTAATCTCTGTGGACTATCATTTCAGCCAACCTTACAGAATCTGCTTATCATAAAGTTGTGATTTACTTGATATCATTCATTGTCAATGAACTAGCGATGCGTCGTCTGCAACGCGCGGAGCTTCTACGGCCTACTGGCATGCTGGAAACTGGCAGAAGTCAGCATGTGGTGGCCAATACGTTCAATGTTACACTGTCTTAAAGTCGTCATTTTGCCAACAGACGTCAATGGTGTACACAACGTCGAAACAAGGTTAATCGTCGCTGGTCACGTGTCATGTTTTTAGAGGAGTCCCGATTCACTTTGCACTTCTTTGATAGACGTGGTCGTGTCTGAAATTAACGTCAAGCCAATGACAACCTGAGATATCATGACAGATTTGGCGGCGGATCGGTTATGGTGTGGGGTGGGATCACTGAGCGAACCCCACTCTATATTGTGCAAGGTCGCTGGACAGTACACTCAGGACAACATATACTGACACCCTTTGTTGTCCAGTTGCAACGCATCTGTTGTCTCTCATGATGTAACAAAAGTACCTGAAACAACGTTATGTACAGTCACCTACACGTCCACCAGAAGAGATCTCCCATCTGGACGATGTCTCAGTTTGCAGAAACAACGCTCCGAAATCAAATGACCCTCATACACATTCTAAAATTCAGAACCAACTCGTCCAAAGATCTCCCTCTAAACCAAGAATCCCTAACTAGCAAACTAATAGTCGTGCAGCAGATAACTTAGTGTTCATTGGAACTGAGAGGCAAACATATCTCAAACAAGGTCTATCCCGAATTGAAGCAGACTCTCCATTCGACACTGTTGGAAGAACTGTTGGTAACTACGCTTCAGAAAACCATGTGATAAGTACTCATATCTGTCTCTTGAAAACATGGCGTGACAACCAGGACAATGCATTCCCCACAGTACAAAAAGTTAACACTGATGTTGATGATGCAAACAAAATAACTGATGACTTTTGGCCTAAAGGTGTATTCTGCAGACAATATGTACCCAGATCAAAGATGAACCGTTCTGATAACTACGGGCCACGTAAGCTTGTTGAAGACTATTCACGTGAACGTGAAGATTGGCCACGTGGTCACGAAGAGGACTGGTCACATGGTCGGGATAAAGCTTGATCACGCGATCCTGTAGGCAAACGTGAACGATATTGAGTGAGTGAGTGAGATTTTACGCCGCTTTTAGCAATATTCCCCAATATCACGGCGGGGGACACCAGAAATGGGCTTCACACATTGTACCCATGTCGGGAATCGAACCCGGGTCTTCGGCGTGATGAGCGAACGCTTTAACCACTAGGCTACCCGACCGCCCTGAACGATATTGAAAAGTGACCACTGGGATATATTATATATTCATCATGAAAATAAACTACATCTTTGTCCTGTACATTATAATGTGCACCCTTCGCGTATCGACCTGGAATGTCAGGGGAGTTGTGTGAGGAACACCACGTCTCATCTTTCTCCTTCTTAACAACGACGTGGTTGTCATTACCGATTGGCCAAAAACAGACAATCTCAACTGTCTTCATTCATTGGATAATAAATTTAATGTAAGCGCAGTGACCTGTGGTAATCACTGCCAGCATCAATGATCCGGAGGTATTGCCATTTTATTCAGGAAATCAACAGAATATACAGCGAAACAAGTGCCGTCTGAAGGAAATCACGTTGTGATAACACACATTGTTAAACCTATGTTTGAAGACTTATATGTACTGGGGAAAAGGCTACCTTCGACTATCCGGAACACTAGCCAGTATATAAATGCCTTCGATACACTGTTTAACCCGTATGACAAGTAATAGCGGGAGATCTCAATGATAATATTCACCACTATTCACCTAGCAAGTCTAAGGGCAAAGCTTCCAACGGAACGTCTATTAAACTAAAGGAGTGGTAAACAACATCCATTATCTGCCCTGAAGTGCCAAAAGCAAATTTTGCTCCATGGACAATACGAGGAAGTCAACTGTGGACTACATATGCGTTCCTGAAAATATGCCGGGTTACAAAGATAGCTAGAGTGTGAACACCGACGTGTCATTTGATGTATCTGATCGCTATCCGGTGTGCAGCATACTTCGTATACAGCGTTGCTATCAACGTTGCTGTCAACTATCGCTCCCCTAAGATTTCAGTCAAAAGCTACTGAACTTATAGACAGTAAACAGCAGACTGACATGGTTTCTATAATAGAAAGATACAAGTCACGAATAGCCAGCAGTCTCCTCTCAGCCTCGGTAACAACAATCCCTCATGGTATATATCGACATTACCTGACACCTTACTGGAAGTCGGATAAATAGGATGCCTACCCATATGATATGAGATATCACCTCAGAGAGTGGAAACGCGCAGGTCGACCACGTGATGAGCAGTCAATACTGTATAAAACATACGAACATACTAAAAGAAACTTTCGCAGGCATAAACGTCAGGCTGAAAGACGACTTACTGAGCTATTTAGAGATATTGAACACAGTTGTGATGAAGACTGGACTACTTTTACAGGACAATCAAAAGTATCAGAAAAAAACAATAAACACTAGTACAACGCCAAAGACCTAAATGATCCTGTCAGTATTGTTAACACTTGGAGAGACTATTTCACGGATTTCGCAACCCCTGACTATTCAAACAGAAATCTGGAATTCAACATATCTGACGACGAGATACAAGTACCGAACAGAAACTCTCTAGGGCAAGATAACACAATCTTAAAAAAAACCCACTTACACCAGACGGGGCGGTCGGGCAGCCTAGTGGTTAAAGCGTTCGCTCGTCACGCCGAATACCAGGGTTCAATTCCCACATCGGCGTAAAACCATACTCACTCACTCTTCAATTCATGGAGGAAATAAAGAATGGCTGTCTGTTTTTAATACCGGTAGTAACATGTTCCTATTCGTTCATTATTACCATACAACTTTTACTTGAAACTCATATCTCTTACAATTTTGGAAATTTTAAGTTATTTACGTGTATCCCCCACTTTTTTTAAAGAGTATATATTTGACCAAGGTAAATCGCAATGTAGTGTACGAAGAGCCTGTAAAATATCAATTCACTTTTGAAGCGTTTGTTCTGTGGACGTCGGCTTGATTCCAATTTGTATGACGAAAACATATTGTTCCTAATAACGGCAATCGGTCTGGAATTAAATAACTATGGTTTGCGAGTTCATCCTGATATAAACCTCTCACATTTACAGTTGTATCCATCTAAGACTAGCCACTGAAAATATATTAGACTAATCTTTACTTCCGATTGTTATATGGTTTGAGTTACCACGTTATTTCTACCAGCTGGGTGCTTACTCTTTGTTTGCATGCATTCACTACCATGCCCGATCTAAACATCCAATACATTGTTACTGGGGACAAACATGTAATGACATGTACAGTGGATCTATTTTTAGAATATCTACGATTATCTCCCTTTTCGCGGAATATCCCTCACAACAAATATGGCCGACTTCTGTTGATAGTTTGGTAGCGTTACCAAAAGTTTTTGATCTTGTCTGCTGAATCTAAGGTGCATCTAGCTCGGGAATATTGTCATTTGGATACCATGGATACCGATCCCGCCATTGTCATGAGTGACAGTCTCAAGAGACTCGCCAGTTTCCAGGAGTACCCTCTGCCATCACCGGGGGGTAGGAACCACGCGTCTTTGTTGAGGTATAATTCACCCCTCAAGTTGTCAAAGGCTGGGTTTTTTCGCCCCCCTAATGCTCGTGGGGACGAGGTGAAGTGTTTCAAGTGTTTTGTGTCCCACTGGGGGTGGTCAGGCGAGTCGCCGATGGCCGTGCACCGAATTCTGAGTCCAGACTGTGCGTTCGTAGCGAGACATACACCGGCAATTTTGACAGCTCGGACACCCGGGAGAATACGAACAGGTGCCCCTTGTAACGTTCGGAGACGTCTACAGATGGGCTCACCGACGTCGACGGAGGGTACACATGCTGTCACAGACGCAGGCATCCAGGAACAGAGCGTTCTCGAGGTATATGACAGATATAATAGTAATACTCCCAGAACACCCGAACATTCTGACAGTGAGACTGAGGGTGAAGGACAGACTGGGTCAATGTTGTTCGAGAGTCACAGACTTCTCACCTACCCCAGCCCCACCCACCCACGTGCTGAGGAGTGGGCTGGGTCGGGGTTTGTGTACCAGAGGGATGGGGGCGTGGTACGGTGTGTGTTCTGTGGGCTAACGACGACATATGATGAAGGCGAACCTGCATCACTTCACCAGGAAAAGTCCAAGAATTGTCCTCTTGTGAAGTATCTGGATGTTGGGAATATCCCGAGAGACTTAGAAAATAAGATCCGATCACAACATCTTGAACAATCTTGTGACAACAATTTTGTGAGTGGTGACCCCATGTTTAAACATCCTCAGTTTGAGGAAACACAGGGCAGACTAGAGACATTCAAGTATTGGTCTAAACAAATCAGACCAACAGCTGATCAGCTTTGCCAAGCAGGGTTTTATTTCACTGGTAAGTTACATTCATGTCCTTTTAATACCATATTAACTACCAGATTGTTAACAATGTTTCAGGTTGTGTTAGAAGTGGTTATACAAAGATGCACATATTGCTGGTATGTCTTCCAAGTTGTCAACATGTTAAACAAGTTATGCTATATCTTGCTTTACATATGTGATGGGTTTTTCAAATATACACAATTTAAGGAAAACTGTCATGGATGTCATTGCATACTTTTTAACTATACTGATGACATTCCCATGTTTTTTTATATGTGTTTAGCTTCATGCAAACGGAACCCTGTGAAGATCCAGGTTAGAATAGGTCTTCAGCAACCCATACTTGTAGCAAGAGGCAAACGATATCAGGTGGTCTCGCTGACTTAGTTGATGCATGTCATCATGTCACAAATGCAGAGATCGATGCTCATGATATCTATCACAGGATAGTCTGGTCCAGACTGATTATTTACAGGCCGCAATCATATAGATGGAATATTGCTGAGTGCGCGTTAAACAACAAGCAATAAAAAACATCATACAAGAGGTATATGTAGTTTCATTCTTGGGGAAACAGGTGGCTAAAAAAGGCCTCATAATTCACTGTGCAGAGTGTTTTCATTGGGCTTATCAGAATCCAATGATTGTGAGTCTTGAACTGACTGTGATTGTGGGTTTTCAACTCAGTGCTGTGCTCATAAAACCTGAGACCTGCATCACTACTGTCTTTACTCCCACATTAGGCCTATATACCAGGTACTGTTCAGAGCAGCATTATTTCCAAGTCACTCACTCTTTCTTTCTTCTTCTCGTCTGTTTCCATGCAAATGACTCCTACATGGGTTTTCTTAATTCACTTATTCAGGGTACGCAGACAGGGTTGTGTGTTTCGCCTGTGGGTGCAGCCTGAGGAACTGGGACCCAGAGGCAGACCCCTGGGTGCAGCATGCTAGACACGCCCCTCACTGTGTGTACGTGAAGCAGCAAAAGGGAGACAACTTTGTCATGGATGCTCAGGAGGCTGAGGTATGTCGTTACATGGTTTGGTAATACTTTGCATGCACAGATGGTGTTATTCAGTGTAACATCTATTTTAGTTAATATTGTATTTGATTTTTATATCCAGCTGTTTGAATTATTCATAAGTCAACCTAGTCAATATGTGTCACAAGTATTTTCATGTACTTTCAAAAGACATCAGATGGAACTTGAAGATTATTGCACTAAGAACTTGATGTATCACACGGATATAGCAGATTATGATAGACAAACTTGCATTGCCACACAGCAACCACGACAACCATTTACTTTTGTCTTTAGCATACATAAACTATAAGGTTCCATTAAATGACTAATTTGTGTGAGAGAGCCTCCATGGTCTTGTGGTAGAATATCTAATAGAAGAGCGGAGGGTCCTGCTTGCAATCCCTGGCCAAAATATGCTAAAAGATAGTACTTGTTGTTACCCTGCCTGGCACTCAGCAGTAAGATGCTTAAACAAGGACTAGGAGTTAGTTTACTGTGTCTGAGTGGGGTATTCATGATGAACTGCAGCATGGTATCTCAGTGTGCTAGTAGTATTAAATCAACATTAGTCCGGACTAGTAGAAGCAGCCACACACACACTCACACATGCATGCACGTTGCTATGTAAGTGCAATAATCTTGGATGTGACATTAAACCCTATTATGTGACATTAAACCCTATTTCACCTCACCTCTACTTTGTGTTATCTCCATAGCAGTGGTTCAAACAAGAACAAGTGGATAAGATAGAAACACCAGGGCCCAATTCCATAAGGCGATTATAGCATTACGACTATTGTAAGCCTATGTTAAGTATGGGTGTGACGATCATCTGAGCACTACAATCGCTTTGTTGAACAGTGCGCTGTCGAGCTGACTATCTATTTGCCCCAAACACTTCGTTTTTCATGTTATGTAATTTTCTTTTTTATTCTTTTACAGACTCTAACAGAGACTGACACAGTTGATGGTAAGTGGTTGACAGTCTCCTCTATACATTGCAATAATTAGAAATACTGTTTATAGGCAGATACTGACATTGTTTTTATCTTTTAGTCTGCTACATGGACCAATCTATGTGTTAGATCATGTTGTAATGAAATGAAATTAATCTTTCTAACATTATTGTACATTAGCAATACAAAGAAAAGTTATTCAGTTTAATGTTCAGAGTTCACATCATGTTTAGATCTCCTGTAAAATCATGTTTTTTTTGTGGAATATGGATAGCTGGTAAAGAGAGAACTCCATTCTTATTAACTGTCAGTTTGATTAAATTCTCCTTAAACATGTTTAATGAAAATGTTTCCTTTTGTTCACAGACCAGTGCAGCACTTCTGGCTCCCCAGCCACGCCCTCCCCACTCCGCCCGAGTCTGGACATGGAGGCCATCAAGGCAGCCTTGGCATGTCAGTATGATGTACAGCAAATCCGTCAAGCCGTTCTCAAATTCTTTATCTTGTCCCGTGAGTGTATTGTGCTCATGTTGGAGTCACTGGAATATCCTGCTTGTAACTTATCAAAGTGAACTTGAGATGTATCCATGAATAACATAATAGTCATTCATATTCTTCAAACAGGCCTAAATACCATTTGAAAACTCAAATTATCTCCCTTTAATGTGTTATTTTGTATAAGTGAACCTGCATGAGTCTTTAATACAGATATTACCACACAAGTGTAACAGAGCTCCTCCTGTTTAGTAATTAAGTCCCCTCACTGTATCCTCATGCACCTGTCCTCTCTATACAGGTGGGTTCTACCCTAATGATGCACTCCTCCTTGGCACACTGCGAGCTTCCGACGTTAACTTCTCCCAGCTACAGAAACAAAGGGAGACAATCTACACCAACTACATGAGTCTCATCAGACAGAGCGAGGCGCTCCAGCAGCATAAGCAGGAGATAGCGAGGAACAAGGAGGATAAAGAGCGGACCCAGGAGGAGTATCACACAGAGCTGAGTCGGGAGCAGGCACAGAGACGGTGCGAGGTGCGGGACCTGCAGGTGCACAACAGGACACTGACAGACAGGCTGCAGGGCCAGGCCCAGGTCATGCAGAGACACTCACAGGTGGTGCAGGACAAGGACCACCAGCTGCAGGACAAGGACCACCAGCTGGGACACCAGGGAGAAGAGCTGGACAGGAAACAGAGGGCACTGAACAGTCTGGCTGTGGAGAACAGGAGGCAGGCTGAGGAGAACAGGAGAAAGGATGAGGAGAACAGGAGGCAGGCTGAGGAGATGAGGAGGCAGGCTGAGGAGAACAGGAGGCAGGCTGAGGAGATGAGGAGGCAGGCTGAGGAGAACAGGAGGCAGGCTGAGGAGTTGGAGAGACTGAAGCAGCTTCTGCAAGGTATGTTTTTTTTAAGCTACTGTGTTTCCAAATCGAGCAAAATATCGCAAGTGACCTTCATTCCAGTAATGGATTATCTTTTATGTGCAGAAGTCATGTCACTTATTGAATTGTAGTAGTTAGGATACCTCCACACTCAGATTCCGAACATGTATTGTAAAAAAAAATCCCAAAGATTTGGGCTGCAATTAAAGCACATATTTCTGAAAATATATTGGTATCATATCTCACACAAAGGATTAAGTTTTCAGTCATTTAACGTCTGATTGTCTGAAATAACAGAACACTTGTCAGGGCAATCCCAGGTTATGTTTGTAGTTGTATCTTTACTTAGCGTAGTATCTTAATTCATTTTCATTTAAATCTGCAGCTAACAACATTCAGAACAATGGGCCAGTCAATGCCAACAACAACGCTGCTGCTGCTGTTGCCCCTGTTGTCCCTGTCGCCGCTGTTGCTCCTGCTGTGCCTGCTGTCTCCAACAACCTACGGTGTAAGGTGTGTCTGGAGGAGGAGGCCCAGTGTTTGTTCCGCCCGTGTCGACACGTGTGCTGCGGGACTCAGTGTGCCCCACACTTCATCGGAAACAGGTGCCCCATTTGCAGGGACAACGTCAGCGACTGGGAGATCGTCTATGTGGCTTAGGATGGACCACGCTTCATCGGGAACAGGTTCCCCATCTGCAGGGACAACATCAACGACTGGGAGATCGTCTATGTGGCTTAGGATAGAGAATGAGGATTTTGTTATGTAACAAATCAATTAAAAACAAATTTATTTTCATAAGAGAAAATATTACCGACTGTTCAACATATATATCAACATATGACTTTGGTTGAATAGAATGTGAAATTGCTAGTTTCCAACTACTTACATAATTATATAAAGTGAATTCTTCAAGGACTTCATAACCTACACAGATACCTTTTCTTAGGTACATGCTGGTCATGCTATTCAGACATTACAGAAATGAAATGTTCTATTTATATACAACAATTATTTCTTAATTATTCTCAAGACTCTGGAACTATTTTAGATAGTGTCTCTCCTTCTATTGCATGTACACATACATATACACATGGAGGGGTGCATCGACCTTACTGGTGGGCCCTTGGGCTCTTGACTAAACCTTTAGTCATGTAGTCCTCTGTACATATCTGAATGTTCATCGGTATCTGTCTATTTATATCCATGTCTGTCTCTGTGAGGCTGCTGGCAGCTATACATGTTATTCTGTCCTGGTGAATAATCTCTTATACCACACTTTGTCATTATAGATAGATATACTTTACAGTTGGCCTTACTTTATGTGGTTAATGATGTTTGATTCTGTTTATATTGTTCATGATTGTAAATAGTTGTGGGTACACAGTAACGGGCTTGTAATTTTGTCTGTGGACTCTCATATTCACCAGCCATGCACATAATACCCTGTTTCGGCTTGCCTTGTTCATTATTGGTAGACACAAGGTCTGGGTAATGCTATTTAAGATGAATTTTGTTTTATACTGTTCGTGATTTGTAAATAGTATTTGGTGTGTTGTAGAGGGCATGCACTTTATCACTCATTAACACTCATACCACAGATATATTACCGGGACATTTTTCATCTTTCCATGAAAGTATCTCACAGTTGATGTACATACATTATTAGAGGCAGCATATCATGTTATCATGTTTGTTATGATTTTGTCCGAATCATTTTATCATTACCGGTAATATTCACAAGTACCATCGGTCTCAGAGTTGAACCACTGCCAGCAGAGATCTCTAGTAACCATTATTACCAAAACCAGACCAGGTTCACAGCAGGTTACTTTTTGGGGTGTAACACACATTTACACGCAGCGATACCATACATAGTATGTGTACCCATGTATCAATTCATGATTTAGTGGTCTGTTGAAGTTTTGTAATAGCCCGTCATGATAACTACTCGGTCTTGTGTTTCTATGCTACCTCTCACAAAACCAAATTTGGGTATTACTATTAGAACGAGCCCAAATTAGTGAGTCATGCGAGTTTAATACAAATTTTCACCCACACCCCACACCCCACACCCCTCCCCAGTTATCTTGTGTGATCTATGTTGAATGTGTACAGGCAGCAACATCTATACATACATCATCTGTGCCAGTGACATCATTCTTACAACTACAGCAACAACACATCATTTCACACAACTTCCATGTCATCACAGTGCTAGCAGGTTTTTTATGACCTATATATCATACCAACCTATTACATCTCATGATAAATTCACCAGTTCCTTTGTTTCAGATCTCACCAAAGGATTTTTATTAATTAATCTTTATAAACAAGTTTTATTTCATGAGTTATTTCAAAATTTAATTTAGATTAAGGCATGGTGACTATAATTATTAGCTTGTGTTCTTTTGCAAGGGGGAAATGAGAGTTATCTCCCCTTCCTCTAACCATTGGTAAATATGTAGGTTGAAATTTTCGTATATTATAGATATTAAAGGGTTTCCTTTGATATATGTGCTAATATTTTTTTTTGTAAATAGGCAGTTATATTATTGAGCAAATCTGTTATCTTGTTAAATGTGTTATTTCCATATCTCATAGTGCTTATAGATCATGTCTGTGCCATACCTTAACTTGGTGCAGCTTTACATTTTACACCAACCAGTATGTTTGGACATATAGGTTTTCTTTTATAGATGTTTTAGCAATATGAAGTATTAGCTGTAATTATTTGAATCACATCAATTTGGTTCACTTGATGTGACAATGTTTTTGGTGCAGGTACAAATTTGTGGCTAATGCACCAGAGGTAGAATATCACCTGGGGGTTTCTTCAGATGGATAGACATTTTTTTATGTTGAGACACTTGTCATTTTGCTATGGTGAATTTGCTGAAGTTTGTACATATTATATAAAAGTGTCCATATGAAACTATAGCTGTCTGCACTTTGAAGGAATGAATTAAATAGAATTTTCTTAATCATGTTCATCTAGTTAACAGCATCTTATATTTGATGCTGAATGCCAGAATGGAGCTCTCAGACACATTAAAATGTGTTATATCATTTCGTTCTTGTGAACTTTTTTCTTAGTTTCATGAATAGAGCAGGATTGTGAATGTGCACAGTCAGTCTTATAAATAAATTCTTTTTAAGAAAATGATAATACATTTTATAAGAGCAGTGACCTAAACTGTTATAATTTTAAAGCATGTTTGTTATTATTTATTGTACTTGAACAGTCTATTTCTCAAATCCAAGGCTTTATTTAGGCTATGGGGCGATGTTTCAACAAAAGGCTTAAATATCAAATACAATTACTGTTTATGATTTCCTAGGATATTTTCTATCTAATATCTTCATATTGTTCAGTTTGACTATGCTAGGTCATATTCATGTATCATACTTTGATATCCATATCATATTTGGTGTACTTGATCAAGACAAAATAATGCTTTCAAGGAACATAATGTATCACTACATGGGGCCAAGATATTTCACAATCACCCACACTCAGCAATATTTCATAATTATTCCAACTATATGTCAGTCACGGATGAGTATCAAAGTTTACAAAACTCATTCTTTTTCTAATCAGTCCTCTTCATCTTCGATATTTTTTTATATTGAATATACTGGTTAGGAACATTGATCAAAGAGGCTATAGAAATATGAACATTGTACATTCAATAGAGTTAATATTTGTGGAACATTTTGTAAGTAAGTTTTATGGAATATGGAATAAATAACATTAATACATACCCCAGTATGTTGTTTTCACTAGCTGGGATCTTGATGAGACTTGTATGTGACAAGAAGGTGCTTGGGTACTCCTACCTGACAGGTGTGTGCATCTGCATTATCCTGGTATGTGTGATGTTATGACTTGCATCTGTTATACATAAAGGACAAAGACTTTGCCTTCTCAAAATCATGCTCTCGACGCTACACATTACATGATTCTTTTGCAGGAAGTGTGCGACGTATTAAGTTAAGTTAAAATCCCTCTGGACGTCTGAAGCGCTCTTATAATATGTGAAATATTCGTACATTGGTTTTTATCCTCGTGTGATGACCAATCTCATTAAATTCAGACCTAGGTTCTCGTTGCCGCCAAGCTTTGTTTAGCGATAGCGAAAACTAAGATCTGATTTTAATGAGATTGTGTGATGACCTAATATTAAAAAAAACACCTCTGCATAGATTTCCATGTTGTACACGAGTAAAGCTACTTTCTCTACATCGCTTAGAAACTTACCTATCAACAATGATACTTTGCGTCCAACCTTTTGATCATTAAGCAACAGCCTCCACACTAGGTAATCCATGTGAAGGTCGCAATGGAGGTACTGGATCCAACCTTGGGGCAAGTGCGCCACTTACACTTAATGTGGATAAGTCCCACCCCGTGAGGTCTCGGGAAGAATAGATCCCGATCACTCTACAGCTTTTACGTGGAAACTAAATTGTATCTTGTTCGGTGATTTGGTTGACTGCGTGTCATCTTACTCCAACACTGTTCATAATGTCATCCATTGGTTTGTCTGATCCATACAGCCAACTCAGGCTCCCGTGGTATAACTGGAATAGTGCGGACTGCGGCGTGAACCACCTAACGAACAGACAAATAATACGTCATATGACAATCATGCTAGGTGACTTATTTAACGAAAACATTCCAAAACAAATGAATTATGATTTGACCATGGTCCAACCCCAATCTGAGACAGTGTTAGGTACCGCCACCATTCTCGGACTATTTCCTATCTCCCAGCTTCATCGAGATGTTCCAGTGGTTCAGAGGGTGACAGTTACCTCATCTGTGTACATCATCTTCACGTCATCTCTATCCGCCGGCAGCAGCTGACCACGATGGCTGACAACTGTCCCTGACCGTGTGATCATATCTAAAATACTGTCAGAAATGCTAGAAAAGTCCTTTTGCCCGTTAAAAAGAGATAGAATTTTTTTTTTATAGACTGTTGCTATTGAAATACCGAGTAACTACGATCTATCTACCTGTGTTTTCATGTATTTCAGTCACTAGGAGTCCTATCGACAATTTTTTCATTTTTTTGTCAACACTGCTCCCGTGATGCATGTTGCGTTACACCTGCATAGCCATGGTACACGACATGGAGTCTGTAATAGGAAATGTATACAAGTTCTAAACACTTGAGAGTGGGAAAGTATTTATTAGTTTAGATATGATGTATTATCGAAATGCACAGGCTCTGGGGCTTTCATAACAACAAGTCTATACGTTATGATAAATTAAACAAAGAAGATAGGAGTCGTCTCAAAAACAAAACCGGGGCAAAAGGATATTAGACAGCTTTGATACAGGGGTGATAAGGCGTTTAGTGTCAAAGCTTTATGAGCAGAAGGTACCCCGACTTGTAGTAGAACTCGGACGGAAATTAAAGACACAATTAATGTTTAATTTTCCCGGACTACATCATTAAGTATTACTCTCCACGAGATGGGATTTCGATACACCGCAAGTGGCGATGACAGAGCAGTTTTCAGGGGAAAATATTCCATCCTGTCTATGAGGTCACATTATCTCCGCACCATTCATAACTTTCGCAGTCAGGGCTTCCAGGCCATTTACCTGGGTGAATAAGAATCATTCCACAGACTACATGTGTCTACCGTCAGATGGACGGAAAGTACCCATGGTACCATCAGGTAAAGGTAATCGTGTCTTTGTTTTGCACGCCGAAACTCGTGATCTGGGGATTATTGATGAATGTGAGCTAGTTTTCAAGGCGAAAAAGGTGATTATCATTAGGAAATGAATGTCGATGTGTTCCAAGGAACATCAGCTACTGCCAAATCTATATCTATATACCAAATGTGTTAAAGTCGCTTCGAAGTGTAACGACATCCTTTTTTAAAATAATAATATAAATTAGGTAACATTAGTCTTCCACATTACTGATGCGTTGGGTAAATTATAAACAATATTCAGAAGATATTTCAAGAATTTTAACGGCCGCGTTATATATTATATTATTTATTATCTCGTTTTTAAAAATCCAATAATGAATTTCAAAATTGATAGTTGCAGTTATGAGACAATTAAATGCTGTAAGGAAATGCTCAGATATATCTTGAAGTGTGGTTAATAAACACCTGTTGTAGGAACATTCTTGAGTTCATCTCTTATGAACATCCTCTGTGTCACTTAATTATGACCGAGGAAAGCCCCAAATGACTGATTATCAGTGTTTTGCTTTGTCGAAACACGTGAGCATTGATACACTGTGGCCCTGTCACAGGGAAAACAGTGAGGGGTGACCTGGCACTACAACCAGTGCATCCTGTCTCAGTCACCATGTTCTCGCCAGAATACATCACCACACTTTCATGTAATCTGATTTTTTCGTTCGTCAGTACATTATGACGTCACTAAACTGTGACGTCATAATGCGATGAAGTATCACATTGAATATCCTCTTCGACATGGATCTCACGTGAATATGAATGCTCAGGTGAGAGATTTGCATCTGAAGATGTCTTAATTACTTTTAATTAGCATTAAAACTATTTAAAACACAAACCTGAAGATTTGCCGACCTTGTTGTGTATGATACATACGATTTGATTAAATTCTGACCAGTGAAGATCCGCCTTATGGTTGACGCATGTTATCGTATCAGTTTTCAGGGGAAAATATTCCATCCTGTCTATGAGGTCACATTATCTCCGCACCATTCATAACTTTCGCAGTCAGGGCTTCCAGGCCATTTACCTGGGTGAATAAGAATCATTCCACAGACTACATGTGTCTACCGTCAGATGGACGGAAAGTACCCATGGTACCATCAGGTAAAGGTAATCGTGTCTTTGTTTTGCACGCCGAAACTCGTGATCTGGGGATTATTGATGAATGTGAGCTAGTTTTCAAGGCGAAAAAGGTGATTATCATTAGGAAATGAATGTCGATGTGTTCCAAGGAACATCAGCTACTGCCAAATCTATATCTATATACCAAATGTGTTAAAGTCGCTTCGAAGTGTAACGACATCCTTTTTTAAAATAATAATATAAATTAGGTAACATTAGTCTTCCACATTACTGATGCGTTGGGTAAATTATAAACAATATTCAGAAGATATTTCAAGAATTTTAAACGGCCGCGTTATATATTATATTATTTATTATCTCGTTTTTAAAAATCCAATAATGAATTTCAAAATTGATAGTTGCAGTTATGAGACAATTAAATGCTGTAAGGAAATGCTCAGATATATCTTGAAGTGTGGTTAATAAACACCTGTTGTAGGAACATTCTTGAGTTCATCTCTTATGAACATCCTCTGTGTCACTTAATTATGACCGAGGAAAGCCCCAAATGACTGATTATCAGTGTTTTGCTTTGTCGAAACACGTGAGCATTGATACACTGTGGCCCTGTCACAGGGAAAACAGTGAGGGGTGACCTGGCACTACAACCAGTGCATCCTGTCTCAGTCACCCTGTTCTCGCCAGAATACATCACCACACTTTCATGTAATCTGATTTTTTCGTTCGTCAGTACATTATGACGTCACTAAACTGTGATGTCATAATGCGATGAAGTATCACATTGAATATCCTCTTCGACATGGATCTCACGTGAATATGAATGCTCAGGTGAGAGATTTGCATCTGAAGATGTCTTAATTACTTTTAATTAGCATTAAAACTATTTAAAACACAAACCTGAAGATTTGCCGACCTTGTTGTGTATGATACATACGATTTGATTAAATTCTGACCAGTGAAGATCCGCCTTATGGTTGACGCATGTTATCGTATCCCAACTGGGTAGATAGATGCTCATGATGTCAATGAATGGATTGTCTGGTCCATTCTCGATTATTTACAGACCACCGTCATATTAGCTGGAATGTTGCTGGAGTGCGGCGTTAAACAACAAACAAACAAACAATAATTACATTCTGGTAACTGAGCCCTCCAAACAAAAGTCATTGTCACACACGGTCACCCAAAACAAAACGTTTATTCATTTTTACAAGAGAAAGATATTGATTTACAAAAAGAAAACAATAGAAGTATGATATTGTAAAAGTACTTCCACTTAAATTCTTACAGGCTGACCATGAGACAATGTCATAAATTAACTATTAACGTACACTATACTCCTCTTTGTTTCCTTGTATGCCGTGGTGACTTTAGCTTCAATATTGCCGAACATGTTTTTTAAGAAATCACAATAAGGGTGAATTCCGAGTCAGTCTCCGCGGACCTCGAAAGTTTTTGTGAAAATGAGGTAAAATGGAGTTCGGGTGGGCACAATTTGTTCACAGATTACACGTCAGCCTTGCATGGATCATTGTTGTTTTCAATCATTATTGAGTAAATTAATTGCAAGCATTTGATTGGCTAACTAAGCATATTCTATTTGCGTTTGTTTCCATAACCATAAAGAATGAGAACACGTACTGTTGTCTGTCAGTGTTTTGGGTTAAAACTTTTAAAAAAAACAGTATGTGAGGTTTATATTGTTTACGTATTTATTTATAAGAATTGATTTAATATGTTTTTTGCGTTTATGGAGTCATAACATGCACTGTTTCAATTCTCAATAGGTTGTAATAATAATGGATAGCTGAAGTATTGGAAACGTAATGACTGCGGCATTAAACAACTTTCAATCGTTACTCACTCGACATGAGGTAAAGCGCTGAAACAGGTTCATGTGAACATACAGATACAACGAATGGTCACCCAGACTGATCCCCATGTCGTCAGACGCTGCGTCCTCTGACCAGAAGGACGACGAGGACCTCCATCCCCTGAAAGTCAAGGGCTACTCCCTCGGTCGTCAGATCGGCACGGGAGCTTACAGTCGGGTCTTACTACTACACCGAGGTCAGGAAGCACGTGCGGTCAAGGTCATCAGCAAGGTGAAGTGTCCCCGGGACTACCTCGAGGACTTCCTCCCTCACGAGCTGGGCATCTTCCCGTCCCTGCAGCACGAGAACATCATCAAATGTCACGAGATCTTGGATTCCCCGACGTCGTGCTGCATCGTGATTGAGTATGCAGATGGCGGGAGTCTGCTCGAGCGTCTCCAAGAGGACGGGCAGATGGAGGAGGAAGAAGCAAGGAGGATGTTCCGCCAGACTACTCGTGCTGTCCAGTATTGCCATCATCAGGGGGTCGCACACAGAGATCTGAAGCTGGACAACATCCTCTTGTCTCGGTGTGGCGGTATTACGAGAGTGAAGCTGAGCGATTTCGGTTTCAGTACAAGGGTATTAGACTCAGAGGGGAGGAAGGTGCTGAGTGTTAATTTTTGTGGCAGCGCCCCCTACACAGCACCGGAAGTACTTCAGAAAAGCGGTCCGTATGACGCCTTGGCTGCAGATGTATGGAGCCTCGGCGTCATACTGTATAGGTAGTTGTTGAGCTGTAGTTGCGTTTCCTCCATGCAATTGATGTGTATACTGTTTACAGAACACAACGGGCATCTTTGGGCTTTAAAAGTGTTACAGTTGTGATATATTGATATCCCCTGAGAATCCGGGTTAGAATTGGTCCCCGGAAACTTACGATGGTCGTGAGAGTTGTCAGACACGGCTGAATACTTGGCTTCCTATCCCGACGGTACGGATACTAGCTCGTAATATCAACAACTGTTTTTTTTTCTGGTCCACACTCGATTACATTCAGGTCGCCGTCATGTATCTGGATTTTTGCTGAGGGTGGCGTTACAACAAGTAAACAAATCACTTAAAAAAACATTCTACTTCAGAGCAGTCTCTTCGGAAGTCTCGTACAGATTCTTCGATTAAAAGAAGCGCACGTATAATATGACGACGGATTCAGTTGCAGCTGTATAAAACCTGGTTTGATCGGAACTGCGGCCGACACTGATGGCTGTGGTTGTATTAGGACCTAAAACGCTTAATCAGCGTGCGTTTGCACATAATACAAGACTTATCTCCCACTAACGTGAAGAGATAAAGACCCCTCAAAGATAAAGACTCTCTATGTTTCTACTGTCTGACATGCAACACGAGCACCATGTATTTGATTGATATTAACGTCGTAATTTCAGCATGCTGTATTTCCGGATGCCATTCAACGACAGTGACATGGACGCCATGATACAGCATCAGCTACAGCGTGACGTGAAATTTCCCACAATTCACTCTGCATCTGTCACGTGCAAAGGTCTCATCAAGGTCATGCTGGAACCGGAAGTGGAGAATAGGGTCACCGTTGACAGCGTCTTGGAGTCGGATTGGTTTATATGAATATGAACTCTTTTCTGAGAATGTATCCATATCTGGAAATACACGTTTTTCTACCTATGATGTTTCTGCAATGTTTCGTTTTACGCTCTGTACTCTGTACCATATCGAATATGATTGTTACTAAGTACATAAACTATCTATTAAAAGGGAGGGAGCAGTCCTACCACCCTTCTCTACGCCCATAATTTGTTTGTTAGGCGGCCCATTCAATGTAGTTTCCGTCTTCTCCATTTGTTTGTTATCTTTTATATTAAAAATACATTGTCATTAAATCGTGGGTGTGGTACCCCGTTACCTTAAGACTTGTAGGCCATCACTACGCCCAGTCAGTAAGGGAGTGAGGGAGTCTGTTGTGTTCCATTGAAGCAGTGTTTCAGTTATATCACACGACACAGGGTCTTAGCTCCAGGCAGCGAGGGTGACGAAAGTCATGAGTATGGTACGGGTACGGTACGGGTGCGGATCGGGGATGGTTCTGGTAGGGTACGAGTATGATTTTATTTGGTTTGGTTTGTTGTTTAACGCCGCACTCAGCAATATTCCCCTTTTGTGACGGCGGACCGTAAATAATCGAATCGAAGCTGATTGACATCATGCGCATCGATCAACGCAATTGGGATCGATGACATTCATCAACCAAGTCAGAGAACCTAACCACCCAATCCCGTTAGTCGCCTCTTACGACAAGCATAGTCCGCCTGTTACGGCAAGCAACAGGAAGACATGTTCTACCCCGGACCTTCACAGGTCGGTACGAGTATGGCACTGATATGGTACGAGTATGGTTCTTGTATGGTACTAACAAACCAAGGATCACATTCAGGGCGAATCTGTGACTCGAACTGACGATCAGCGTTAGCGGGCCGGGAGAGCTAAGAGAGGACAGTGAACACATTATATACTGCGTACAGTGAAACCCCGTTAATCCGGAGGATAACTGCCACGGTGAAATAGTCTGGATTAACAAATGTCCCGACAAACGAATCGTAGTTACGGAGACGGTCCTTGTATAGATACACGTTATCTAAAGTAATGTCCGTAAAGTTGGGTTCACGGACTAATGAGGCTTCGCTGTATAGAGGGAATGATTACATACATGTGTGTACGGTTCATGAACTATTGAGGCTTCGCTATATGGAGGGAATGAGTACATACATGTGTGTAGATATGGGAATAGATATAGACTATTACGACATAATGTTTATTTATGTACGTAGATCTACAAGCACTGAACATCAGGTTCGTAGCCTACATCAGTATTCATTGTATAAGTAGCGGGTTTTTTCGTTATAGGTAGCAACAGGTTATGTACTTTGACAAGGCGGGTCTCTGTTGATATTAGCAGATATCATTATCTGGAGTGTATACATGGTGGGATGGTTGGTAAGTTGTTGCTTCGATATTTCAAGTTTGCATTTATTCTGTTTTATTTCGTAGGATTTATACCGTGATTTTATTTCCGGAATAGTTGGTAAGAGTATGAATAGTGTCGAATATAAACAGACAACAATATAGTCACGTTACAGAACCATACTCCAAAGGTTGACACATAATTTATTTATTTATATTTGTTAGTTTGCTACTGTTCATACGTACAGTAAACTACGTTTATAACGAACACGCTTATAACGAACTGACCGATCTAGCGTACTTATTTGTTGTATAAATGATGTATATATGCTTAAAACGAACGACGGTTATTACGAACTAAAATTAGTGGTCCCTTTGAGTTCGTTATAACCGTAGTTTACTGTACTGTCATCATTCTTGTACTATACTACTCAAGAGAGGTTATTGAACCCCCGAATGTTTCTAATGACTATGGGGTGGTGGGGCAGCCTAGTGGTTATTAAAGTGTTCGCACGTCACGCCGAAGACCCGGGTTCGATTCCCCACATGGGTACTATGTGTGAATACCCGTGAAGATCCGGGGTAGAATAGGTCTTCAGCAACTCATACTTGCCGTAAAAAGGCGACTGTGCTTGTTGTAAGAGGCGACTAACGGGATCGGGTGGTCAGGATCGCAGACCTGGTTGATGCATGTCATCGTATCCCAATTGCGTGGATCGATGCTCATGATGTCAATCACTGGATTGTCTGGTCCATACTCAATTATTTACAGACCGCCGTCATATAGCTGGAATACTGTTAAACAACGAATAAGCAAACAAAAACAAACAACAATGTGTGAAACCCATTTCTGGTGTCCCCCTCCGTGATATTCCTGGAATAGTGCTAAAAGTGGCGTAAAACAAAACTCACTCATACGCACCTTCTGACTCATACAAAGATGCAAGAGTCTGGTGGGTCACCAGCTCTAGGTCCATGCTTGTCGCAAGAGACGAACAAACTGAGATTTAGCTGAGCGTATGGACTACCCACGTGGTCATAGTATATCTTGTTGTTTGTTTGTTTGATGTTTAACGCCACACTCAGCAACATTCCAGCTATATGACGACGGTTTGTAAATAATCGAGTCTAGACCAGACAATCCAGTGATTGACTTCATGAGCATCGATCCACACAATTGGGATACGATGACATGCATCAACCAAGTCATCGAGCCTGACCACCCGATCCCGTTAGTCGCCTCTTACGACAAGCAGTTGCCTTTAAACAGCAAGCATGGGTTGCTGAAGACCTGTTCTACCCCGGATTTTCATTGGTCTCATGGTATATCTAGGGGAGATCACTGGTAGGACAACGTAGTGAAGTGAGTGGTCTTACTCCGCCGGCGTTGATAGATGTTCACAAAATCGGCCACGGGTTGGTGTAAAGGATAGCATACAGACCGTTGTGACACGATGTTCTCATAATGTTGACCACGACGTTAATGTAGGCCTTAAATTCTCTTTACGCAAACCCTGGTTTTCTTATATTTGTTTTTACCGAGACTGACATCTTTTGTTTGTTATATAACTATTTATGTTGTGTATTAATGTAGTATTGATTGACGAATTTATATTTATCAACTGTGATGAAACGAATGAGTTAACGATGTATACATGCGAGCTATAATACATTATTTGAAAGTTGGGTTGGGTAATCTCTATGGGCGTTTATAAGTGTTTGAATAACTAATGAACTTGTGTCAGGACCCGTGAAGATCAGGGTCAGAATAGGTCTTCAGCAACATATGCTTGTCATAAGAAGCGACTAAATTGTCGTAAGAGGGACCATCTCCGTGGTCTAGAGGTAGCTATAGAGCATCCGCCCGGAAAGCAAAAGGTCCGGGGCTCGTTCCCGTCCTACCAAAAGACGTTAAAAGATGGTACTTGTTGTTACCCTGTCTTCCGCTCGGCATTAAGGGGTTAAAACCAGGACTTGTCCGTCGGTGTCAGTATACTATGTCTGAGTGGGGTATTCATGTTAATCTGCAGCAAGGTATCACAGTTGGACAGCACTATAAAATCGGCATTAGTCTGGACTAGTACAAGCAGCCACACACACGTGCATGTACGTCGATATATAAGTGCAATATTCTTGGACGCGATGATAAACCCCATTTCACCTCACCGACTAACGGGATCGGGTGGTCAGGCTTGCTGACTTGGTTGAAGTCATCGTATCCCAATTGTGTAGATCGACGCACATGATACGAAGAAATACAGAATCAACAATTCACCGGTACGGACATATTGTAATATAGTTGTTTGATAAATGGTGAATGATTGTGTCAGATATTTTAGAAGATATTTATTATTGTCTCTCCGCGTGTTTCAAGGAAATACATATAGACATGACTAGTGATCGTTTGATACATTAAACAAACACTGTCCACACAGCGAGGCCGGTGTGTCAACATACTCGTCACGCTGTCCACGTGTATCTAAGGCCGGTACATGGGCTAGCTAACACTGACAGGGCGAGAGCACTCCACCCGAGATGTGACACACCAACTTCAGATACACCCGACTATATATACTGAGTGTATTTTTAGAAACACCTACGCCACGCGCATGTCTGTACCGTGAATACAGGTTCCGACAAGTAACGCTCCTATCATCGACGTTTTTTTCAGTAAACAAACAAAGGACATATCGATCAGCAAGTGTAGAAGTTAAAGACACCCACAGGGCGGTGATCGGACAATATGACGCCATATTCCCGAACAGGAAGTTTTTTTGTGTACCCATGCAACAAACGATCATTCGCCTCGGTGTATGAATGCTATATACGTAGGGATATACAGTAGACGCACATTCATGAATGTCAATATATCTTACATGTATAGCAATGTCGTTTTGTGACACTGGTCTTGTGCTGATTTCAACTATACACGACAAGGCCAATTAGTTTGAACAAATATCGATGTTGTGTCTTCATTTGGCCATTATGGAAAAGTTCAAGACAGATGTTTGCAGAATTCCTGCACTGGCATATACACAGTATCGACATGTATACGCAACGCTGAGACAGGCGTTTGTTCATCACCGTGCATGTATTCCTCCATATGCCCAAAGTGCACTCTATTTTGAATGTTGAAAATAACAACGTTTATTAAATTATGTTCTTCTACACATATTTTACCACAACTTTTTTCTTACTTACCAACATTTGTCTTGAAAGGGTTCTTTGTTTTGTTGTTGTTTAAAGCCGCACTCAGCATTAATTACAGCTATATGACGGCGGTCTGTCAGCGAACCTGGCCACCCGATCCCGTTAGTCGCCTCTTACGACAAGCATAGTCGCCATTTAAGGCAAGCATGGGTTGCTGAAGACCTATTCTACCCCGGATCTTCACGGGTCCGTTTTACTTTTACTCGTCACCTCGATATGCTTGTGTCCAGTCTGGTACTGATATGGTACTGGTATAGTACTGGTATGGTACGAGTTTGGTACTAACAAACCAAGGATCACTATCAGGACGAATCTGAGACTCGAACTCACGATCAGCGCTAGCTGGCTGGGTGAATATCCTCGTTTGTCAGAGCAATAGGGTAGCCCAGTTGTTGAAACATAGTCCTCGGTGGAAGCCTCGGTGGCTTAGGGGGTGAGATCGCTGACTTTGTGTGCTGGCGATTTGGTACCTCTGGCAGTGTGGGTTTGAATCCCGGATGGGACAGCCCAAACAAGTACTAGAATATGTACTTAACTAAGAAAGCGTTATCCCAAAGTGTAACATTTGTTACATTTGACCAGTTTCTAAATGGCATTTTGTGTTCATAAACCTAGTCCGTTAATCCGAGACTAGTGAAAATCAAGAAGGGCTACTTGAAGTTGTTTTCTACCAAACGCTAGCACAAACCACTTGTCCGAAATTAGCTCCACGAGTTGGATATGACGAATGGCGTCTACCTCTACCTTTTTGTGTACCTGCCGCAATATGGTTATGTACATGCCGACTCGCGTAACGCCACTCACTCACCCTTCGTGTGTCAATAAAATATGCTGCATTATGTTGCGACGCCATTAGGATAAGTATCAATATAGCGGATAATATTTGAGAACATCTTGCAGTTGAGGCTACTATACGGTGTGACCATGACGTTGTTCTACCGGCCAACCGGTTCAATGACGCGTATCGATAGTACACGTCGTGACTGACGTGCATGTAACCTGCGGAACAGGCTTCTGGGTACATCAACCGTAACACTCGCCACGTGTCTTTCTGTGTGTCGTGACCCGTAATGACTAACAGGTCGAAGTTCAGAGGTCATCTCCTGGGGCAGGTGAGACAAACCTGCCCATCAACGTCCACGTGCATTGAAGCATGACGCCCCCTCCCTCAACAATACGTCATTTCTTCACTCCGGACTTACGTGACAATATGGGGCTGTAAAACATGCACTTGGTGACACCTACCTGTGCGTCAGGGCAATCAGGCGTGTCATACCTGTGAAATGTGCAGGTATTTAAGACTTGAAAGGATTGACAACTTGCGTCAGCCTGAGAGAAAACACAGTGACGTTGTCAGGCATTCAACAGAATTCATTTAATCAAATATTACACGATTAATGTATTACTCCTTTTATGTCAAAAACTTAAGTAATAACAACCTCTGTTTTGAGTCATGAGATGGGTAATGTAAATAGCAACGTCATGAAGTGCAAACTGACAATGACTTTATATAGGAATGCATTGCATGATTATTGAGGAAATCAATTGTTGAAATATATTTATCTATCCCTTTGAGGGGGCGGTCGGGTAGCCTAGTGGTTAAAGCGTTCGCTCGTCACGCCGAGGACCCGGGTTCGATTCCCGAAATGGGTACAATGTGTGAAGCCCATTTCTGGTGGCCCCCGCCGTGATATTGCTGAAATATTGCTAAAAGCGGCGTAAAGCCAAACTCCCCCACTCACTATCCCTTTGATTGTTCGTTACATCCGTTCGCTTGTTTGTGCATTCGTTTGGTCTTCCGTTTATTCACTTGTTCATTTCCTCATAACTCGAATCCCTATAGATGCACTTATGCATAATGTCACAACTTCTGATCGTCTCCTCACAGATGGGTATTACGAAAGTAACGCGACTTACATCAAAGATGATTAATGAGGCGTATATATTCCTCACGTTGTCAACAGGACAGAGAATGTCGGTGTAGCGCGAGACATGACAGCACGTGCTACGTTTACCCCCATAACACATCCGTCGAGTTGTCGCAAAAACTGATTGATTGATCAAGACGGTCCCAGTCAGAACTTGGGGGTAAAAACAAAGTAAACAACAGAATCGTTGTATCTATGTACAGATGGGCCCAAACACATATCTTGGTGACATATACACGAAACAATGAGACCGAAGTTCATGTAATGTCGAAATATTGATGACATTTAGAAGCGCGGAGTTGAGGATAGGGGAGATAACTCCATTTGTCTTCGTAGTATATAGTTACCAAACCCGCTGTTGCGATCACTGCGAAAAAGACTCTTTGTATACAGAGTCGAAAACTTTTAAACATATATCATTAGAATAAAATAAATTCTTATCTATCCTGAAAATTGCATACAGGGTACTGGAGCCCCCTTAGTGCAACACAGATAACATTTGAATAATTTATGGATGATCGCGTATTTTCAATCTAAAAGTATTTCAGCATCATAACTAAATCCTTTTAATATATGTTTTCAATTAAAAATATATAATATAACTACCAAAAGCACCCGTATGGTATCTTGAGTTTCAAGATACGCTATATCTATTTAAATGTACGACATTTATTATTAGTAAATACCTTTAACGGTTTTACGTTTCAGTCAGATGTATCAGACATTGATGTTTACTTTCCTGTTAATACAGTCTCATAAAAAAAACATATCTTAGTGCTCGCAAGTGAGCCTTAAGATCTAATTTTAGTGAGATTGTATAAAACATATCGATACGAATTTGCAGTAAATGTTAAAAATACTTTCTCCCACACTTAATAGTTAACCCATCAATCCCGTTATGGCAAAGAATTGTTTTATTTCTTTATTTCGATCGTGCTTGTGTTTACTGACACCGAGTTAAACAGCGCTAAATTGGTTGTTAGGAAATTATCGTTTTCCTGTGACAAGACGGAGTTGCGGTTTGTTCAAATGTCAGGTCAGAACTTTGTCTGTGGCCAATCAATCAATGTATGGCACAGTTCTTCTTTAACAGAAACAACATTGCAGCAACAGCCGTTAATAGTCGGTGACAGCAGATGAACACGCGAATGGGACGATCGATAATTCAACCAGCCATATGTCTCTGTGGACTGGCCTGTTTGTCAACTACATTTTATTCCATTTGCAAAATTCAGCAGAAAATTGACACAATCCTTTTTCCCCGTTCCACATTCCACTGAGAACAATTGAAAAATGTAAACATACACAATCTACTGGCGCGTGATGGTTGACCTCCACGACCTCTCACTTCGACCAATGAATAAGCCGGATATGTTCATGACTATTCATGACACCCTTCGTCTTACCGAACACCTTGGAGTAGGCTAAACGGCGAATTTAGGAAAACAAAGTCGCGCCCGGCCACTCCCTGGACAGGATACTACATTTCGGAACTTTCACATCTCGGAAACATTGTGATAAGACAACACAGACATAATTACAATCTGTGGGACACAAACTTTGTCGGATTTTACACCTGTGCGGAGATCTACAGGTAAGAATTTCCTCACACACACACACCCGGGTTGGGCCGGTCTGTCGCTCGCCCTTATCCAACAGGTACCCTAAAATATTCCACGTGCTGAAATACCCTTGCGGCAATTAGCACCTTAGTTAAGAACAATGTATTTTCCATTAACGAAGTGGGTATGAACCTGTTGTGCGTTAAACATGTGGATATTTCAAAAGGCGTTATAACGAGGTACAGTTCAATCAGGCGTGACCAGTAGCTGTCAGTCGACCGGGGTGTAGCTGGTGATTACTGACCGTGAATGTAGATCTTATACTCATTGTACGTTTGACGTAATCTCCGCCTGATTCGCAGTGTAATCGAATAATTAGCGAACCTGCCTTGACTTGACTTTAGGAAACAAATGCAGGTAGGAGTGACATAGGAGAAGGTACAATATCAGAGATTCTTTAAAGTGATAGACCAGTACTTGGAAAACAGGTCAAGATATTGCAAAATCTGGGCGTTACGGTTAGATGGTGACAACGTCTTCTGAACACGCCCGGTAACATCAGTGGATACACGATTCAATATAGAGACATGGCTTAGGTTTCCCGGCCACAATATGAATCAAACATGTGCCTGAATATGTAAGTAGTTTATCCACGTACTGAAATTAGATACTGTGTATTATTGAAAACAATACCAAGTGAATATGTTGATTATGTTTCAGTCGTTAGAAGAAAATATTCAATATTTGTGACGGGGCAGTTTTAGAAGTAAAATAATTTCATATTTATATAATTTCTTTTAATAAACAATGTTGATTCTTTAATTGTAAATCTTGAAAATTTAAATGTTTTCAATACTGAATGCAAATACCCATATTTAGAGTAGTTAATTTAGGGACTTGCCATGTGTTATTGAGGGATGAGAGGTGGGACTTGTTCTTTGCTGACAAGGAGGATTCATTGGAGGGTTGGCCAAAACATGACCAAGAAAGGAGAAGATATATGACAAAATAGATACCGGTACTTATTAGGATGGTGATGAAAACAACAGACATGTATTTTGTTGCATCATAAATTGTTATTAATATTGATAACAATGTGTTTTCCATGGTTACAAACAACATTTGCATCTTAAAAGGTCAATAATACACCTGCACTTAGTCCTTTCTGTTTACATCAACCAGCAATGAGTGAGTGAGTTGGGTTTAACGCCACTTTTAACAGTACTACAGTTATATCATGGCATGTCAGCTTAATGTGGGAGGAAAGTCCGAAGTGATGCAGGTCTCAGACGTTTACCACTTCGGTGAAAGCCACGAGCACGGGTATGGTGCTGGTAACCCTAGAAACATAATCAGGGCGAACCGGGATTCGAACCCACAATCATAGGTTTCTGGCATGCCCAAGGGACGCAACTCTGCACAGCGAATCGCTGCGCCTCAGACGACTGGGCCACCCGTGATACACATCTGTAGCATACGTGATATGAAACACCATACCCATGTTCAAAGTGGTAAACGTCTGAAACCTGCATCACATTCTTTCTCACCGCTTTTCTCCCACAATTAGCTGACACTGTGATATAACTGGAATACTGTTGACCCAACCCACCAATACAGTTTTGATCATTTTAAAAAATGAAGTCTGACTGAAAGTTTTTTCATTCAAAGGATTTCTTAACCCAAGATGTAGAAGACTAACCCATTTGGTAACACAATGTTTTCTGAGTACCAATTAAACCCTAAGACAATTCTGTGTGAACTGATAACCTCATAGAATTTTATTTTCCCAAACATATTTTTAAAAATATGAGTAAGTGCTTGAAGTAATCATACTAACCGTGAACAATTTAGGGGATATCAGTTATCAGTTATGGTTATTGACCTGTTTTTATTGTGTACAGATTGAAATCTTATAGCAAGTCTATTTCTTATTGTAATTCGTACATCAAGCTGAGATGCTGTGACGGTTATAACTTATCATGTTTCATTAACCATTGTTGGCCCTGAATGGAAGGTAATGACATCTCCAGATTAAGCTGGGAAGTCCATGTAGTGGGACTGCCTCTGTGGTCTAGTGGATAGGGTGTCTGCCCAGAAGGCAGAAGGTCGGTGGTTTGATCCCCGACCCTGTTGAGACGTAAAGATGGTACTTCCTGGAGGAGGGTCGGGTAGCCTAGTGGTTAAAGCGTTCTCTCATCACGCCGAAGACCCGGGTTCGAATCCCGACATGGGTACAATGTGTGGGGCCCATTTCTGGTGTCCCCCGCCGTGATATTGCTGGAATGTTGCTAAAAGCGGCGTAAAACAATACTCACTCACTCACTCACTCACTCACTACACCTCCTGGTGTTTATCATTAAGGGAATAGAACACGTACTGGTCAGCTCAAGTCTGTCTGCCATGTCTGAGTGGGCTACCTATGTTGCACTGCCACATGGTATCACAGTGTGCTAACACTGTAAATCTGGCATTAGTCAAGACTAGTACAAGCAGTCAAACACACATGTGCTTGCAAATTTCTATAAAAGTGCAATAATTTTGCAATAACTTTAAATAAAGCTACAAAACCCTTTCCATATCCAATAGAAATCTCTGCATAAAGCAGTGTCGATTGTATAATTCTGACTATGTCATGAGCATGTGTTTATGAATCACTATCAAATAGTTATGATGCCGGGTGTTCGCGAAAATGTGAGCATATCCTGCCCCACCAGTGGCACCCATCACAAACACATGCAAAAGCAAGTCAATTATTCACCCGAAAATATATGGGAACATATGGTACAAGTCAAAATAGGGAATTACCCAATTTCACCTCATCTCCAAGCACTGTATAAGCTAGTTTTGTTTAGTTTTGATTGTTTTTTGTTTAACGCCGCACTCAGAAATATTCCAGCTATATGACGGCGGTCTGTAAATAATTGAGTCTGGGCCAGACAATCCAGTGATGGCATCATGAGCATCGATCTACTCATTCGGGATACGATGATATGCATCAACCAAGTCATCGAGTCTGACCACCCGATCCCGTTAGTTGCCTCTTACGACAAGCATAGTCGCCTTTTGCGGCAAACATGGGTTGCTGAAGACCTGTTCTACCCCGGATCTTCACAGGTCTATAAGCTAGTAGTTCACTCAGTTGTTTGGTTGAACTCCCAGCACCTGTTGCATGCTCGGGCAGATATTGTAGACAGTATTCCTGGCGTTATCTCACAAGTGTTGGGTAAGTATCTCAGACTGGTAGATAATGGCCTCCAGTGGCACAGATCATGAACACAGGTACGGTACTTTAGTCAAGTCTACCAGCTTGTCTGGTCAGCATGTCATGAATAAACTGTGGCTGTACAGCTAAGTGAGTTCATGTGTAGCTGACCATCCAATTATTTATTGTGATTTGAAGAAGGTAGCAGGTACATGTATATTAATATGCCTACAGTGTAGGTGATTTCAACTTGTGTAAATGGGATAGGCTAAGGTATTAGTCACAAACAGTACTTCACCTTCTACTTTCGTCTTCAGTTATATATATCTAAGAGGCCAATATTTGACCCAGGATGTTCAGAAATGTCTGTGAAATTCAAGGATTGGTATTTAATTTCCCTATTCAGGTTGTCTCAGTTGATAATACTCTTACGGTAGTGTTTGAGTTTTGCACACATGGCATATATTTCACTGATAAGACAAGTAAGAGAAATGTTATATTCATTATTGTATTTTCAATGCCATGCAAAAATGTCTCTGATGTTAAGAAAAGTTCTTGATTTTGGATCACATGACCTGGATGGTTAGATTCAGTGATTTGGATGATTTGCATGTCTTCATACCCAGCAGCATGAATCATTGCTCACAATATCAATTAATTGGGGTGTCTGATCCAGATTCAATTATTTATAGGTCATATAACTGAATATTGCAGAGTACGTTGTTAAACAACAAAATACAATCAAACCCAGATTGAGTCCAAGTTATCTGCCATGGGCACATAGTTGAAAATCCAAGAAAGACCCTGATGCTAAATATATAACGGAAACCAGTAGACTCTGTTTAGTAGGCTGTTAAGGAGGTTGTATATGCAGTATCAAAAAGATTCCTTATAAGGGATTGAAAAAAGTTGGTTAAACTACAAAACCTGCTCTTCTTCATGTTCACACTGAGGTAAGAGTGAAACAATTTCTTTCGTCATACTTTCATTTCACCAGAGTTGTCATGAAATACCAAAAAGTATCGGTCTTGAAGATGATCTACAAGTCTTTGGCTTTAGGTGTTTAAGGGGTTCAGTGATGTGGCTGTATGTGCTTGTCTTGAATGTGTATTTGTGCCATCAGTAAAGACAGCTCTGAGTGCCTGCCATGATGCTGGTTGTATACACTGATTAATGCATCTATTATACATAGGACTGGCCTGTCCGCCTCAACAACAGCTAGTCACGACCACGGCGCAAGGTTCTGCTCACGCAAACAACCCACGTGTGTCTCTATGTACAGCAAACAATTCCAACCATATTTGTCTTACAGTTACACTATACATACTGGATATAGCAACATTGTAACTGTTATTGATATTTCATAATAAGAATATCTTTCATAACGATTAATTTATATTTTCTTCCATGCCTCCTACTGTATGTAGTCCAATACTATGCTTTCGTGTAGCATATTATACAAGATATATTTTGTATAACAGTATTATAAGTCTATATCAATGTCAGTGTTACTAACCGAAATCTTTAAATAAATCGTCATCTAAATTGGGAAAAACAGTAAAATTCATAAACGAAACTATACATAATATTTTTTAAGTAATGGTGACAATTTATTTATTCATCATCTTAAATCGTTCTTGTTGAAATTGTTTAATCGGTTCAACACGACATGCGTTTCACATTTCGTGATCTCTGTAGACGGAACCTGAAACTCAGGGTACGCATAGTGTCACATGATATGGAGACGTCACTAGTGGAAAGTGTGGCCTGTCAATAAGATGTCAGTCCCTCTGACTCAATTCACATTTCCAACATTGTGCAGTGTTTTCTTTCTCCTTCTTGCAACAGTGAGACAGACTTGGATATTGTTTACCATCAACAATACAATGTGACACTGGTAGAAGCTGTTTGTATACTGGCCAGACGTCTTCTCATGATCTTCGGTTTTAAATGTTTTACATGAAATGGACATGAACAAAATATTTAAAATGTAAAATTTCACCACATTCTTCCTATTCTGTCCAATTTGATCAAATATTTTTTTTTCTGATTTTGAGGTTGGCAGACACATCATTATACAAGGCGTTGGCCTGGCTGGGGAATGCAGCTGTGGTTGGTTGTAACTGACACACTGCCTCCTTAATTGGTTAGAATTGGCCTTCGGCAACTCGGGGGCATGGGTGGCCCAGTTGTCTAAGGCGCTGCTATTCGCTGTGCAGAGTTGTGTTCCTTGGGCATACCAGAAACCTATGATTGTGGGTTCAAATCCCGTGTTGGCCACGATTACGTTTCTAGGTTTGTCAGCACCATACCTGTGCTCGTGGGTTTCACCGAAGTGGTATACATGGTATAGGTCTGAGACCTGCATCACTTCGGTCTTTCCTCCCACATTAAGCTGACACACTGCAATATAACTGGAATACTGTTTTAAGTGG